CCTCAGCATGTTTATTAGCTTAAACAGTAAAATGACACTGAATATATCTATTTAAATGATCAATTAATCAATTAAAAATCAATAAATTCAAAGCTTGAAAACTTAGCTCATAACAAGATTTAGTCAATAAAAAGTTCAATTTCTTCAGGTTCCTGTATTGAAGCTAACTGACTGGAAAGAAATAAAGACAGTCCTGTTTTTGCAAAGGCAATAAAAAAAAGTCCCAGAAAATTAGAATGAAAGGCTGTTGCTGATTTGCAGCAATGTCATGCCACTGTAAAGAATATCAACAAATGAGCTTCATCTCTATCTCTGCAGAATACAGTTCAAATAGGAATTTACAGATGCAGCATGTTCCTCTTTATTGAACAGGACCCAGATGTCTCTTAAGTGACATGGTTCTCTAATGATGCCCATGTGTCTGGAAGGCAAAATGCTTGATTTTAGAGTATTGAAAATCATCTCAAAACATACACAAGGCAACTATGTGTGCCCCAGGTTGCTGTTTGTCATGAAATAAGCTAGTGCAGCATGATTGGGTCCAGTGGCACAACCAGCCCTAAAGTTTGGGGGGGGGGTCGGGGTCAGGCAAGTTCTCATGACCTGTCTTTAAAATATCTCTGAATGCAAGAAGGCACTATCAAATCATCAGAAGAGATACACTCACTGAATAAAAGATGAAAGCAGCTTCAATATTGAAAAAAGCTTTAAATGAACTAAATTAATTTCAGGATTCAGTCCAAATTTCTATACTACATAGATATCCAACTGGATATTCGTTAACCTGTGCATGATTCACATCTTTTATCTGAATCATCATACTTCTGCTTTCATTAAAAAAAATCAGTAGCATATGTGCAGGCTGCTTCCTTGACATGTTCCCTTTACTACAGTGAGTAACCATATGTGACTGGCATGACCTTCACCTTTTACCTCCTATCTTTATGCCTTTCCAGCCTCGCTCTCAAGTCATTTGCTCATGATAATATCTTTCTGCATCCCCCACCCTCAGGGGAGAGGGAGACAGAGGAACAGAGAAATATTATCAAGAGCAGGGGTTTGGGGGGGTTCAGATCCCCTGAACCCCCCCTTGGCTGTGCCACTGATTGAGTCCCTTTCTTTTCCAACAATCTAACATGAGATTAATATTTGAACATGCTTTGATGCAAGTTCTCACCAGAAATACAAAAGAATGGGCTTGTCCCTCAAGAGCAATACCATACACTGCAAATAGAGTGCTTGATCTCTTGCATGAAATTTTCCATGAAAAAGTCATTTCACATTGTCTACCTCATTGCTTCCAAGGTATCAATAGGCACTCACAGAAATACTTTGATTTTCTTTTTTGGGGATCAAGTGAATTAAATAATGCTTCTTGGGCATCTGCATTTCATTGAATCTGGGCATCTGTTTTTAGTGTTGCCATCCATAAATTCTACTAGGGGATCACATTAAATATCTGCATGTACACAATGCAAAACTTCATTCTTTGTGTCAAGGAAGTACACCACACCAATCAAAACTTAATCAAACATCACATTAATCATTAGTAAGGAAATACATGGCTATGAACTAAACTTGCAGGCTTTGGAAATTCTATATATAGTTAGTTACTTTATTATAATCTGATTATTCTGTGTGATTATGGGAACAAACCTTATTGGGCAGTTCAGGCTGAGGCACCCTGAATACACATTAATAATTTGCTGTAGACTTATTCTTTTGCAATTAAACAAATGTAACATTTTCTATATATCATTAATTCTACCACATTTATATTTAAATAGCATCAACATAGGATATTCATGTGTGAGAAACTAAAGCTCACCTGAAAAAATGAGGATCAGTTTATAACAGTGTTCAAGCAAATTCAAGTCTCAAGTTAGATTCTTGTTCCAAGGCATGTCATCAATCCAGAAATAAGTGGTCTGCAGGATCTTCTTGAGGCAAAGAGAGGGATGCATGGAATGCTTCCTGACAGACAAATTTGTCACATCGGGTCTGCTCAGCTGCATTCTTATTTTCTCTGCACATTTGTTGGTGTGCTCTTGCACTTGAATATCCCTGCTACCTTGTAGTGTGCTGAAGTGATATTTAGGCTCCACACAAGGATAAGCCATTTCTTTATATTTTCATCCATGGTTCATAAGGTCCTCCATCAGGTCAGGAGCTGCAACAATGAAAGTAGATGAGTACAAGGTGCCAAAAAGTAAAGATCACATTTTTTTTTAATGGAACATTCACAGATGGATTTGGAAAACTTGCACTTCTATTTCTTGATAGACTCAATTGCCAGACTCTTTTGATATCTCTGAATTCTCATTTGATAGCTTCACCATGTACCCTGCAGTACATGTTGTGCTCAGGAAAGGTGTATTGGTCAATGCCCTGATGGACAATACCCTATGGAGGAATTGCATACACCTAATTTGCAATACCAAATCCATCTTCCATGTCACTCAGTGTGGCACTTTACACTCTTGCTATGCATTGCCTTTTAAGAGCAAATCCCAGCTTGCTGCAAATTCAGGACAATATGCTGATCCCAAGGACATGGGTGATGATCTAAATGTCCCACTCTTGCCAGTGTGTATTTAAGAGCATGTTCTGAAAAAATTACAATCTCAGACTTTTTAACTGGCTGCAAACCCTTAATCATGGAAAAATTAATGTATTCAACCCCTGGCTTTGGCAGAATGGGGCAGGGAATAAGATTTCCTCTTATGGATAATACTGATGCTGGGTAACGATGTCATTGTGTTAAGGGTACAGAAACGAAAATTATGGTCAGTTTAGCAGGACCTGACAATATAGCGGTACCTAAAATGCTCTTATCACGATATTCAATAAGAATATGACAACAATGAAATCTGACGATTGACACCTAGAGAGGTTTCCTTTACCTTCCAAGGAAGTTAATGCCGGCAAGCTGGAGAACTGCTTCCTGCCATTTGTCGGGATCGGCCTCCTGTGGCTCACTTTAATGTTTATGCGTTCATGTGCCAGGGTTCTCGAGATATAAAGCAAAATAAATAAATAAATAAATAACATGCGGCGTTGAAAAAATTCACTTCAAGATTCGAGGCCAGCACTGAAGCACGTGTTGGGAGGGTATCGCCATGGCTTGCCACAATGGCGTCACTTCTTACTGCTCCTTGATTGGCGGATGTTCGTTTCCTCTCCTGAGTGATCCCATGTGACTGGGCTGAAGGCTACGGAGCGCCTTGGCGTTCTTGCTGGGCGAAGGACGAAAAATCGAGGAAAATGCCCTCCATGCGAGGAAGGAGGATAAGCGTTTACGTCCTGTCGGCAGTCGTGACCGTGATCTTGTATCTGGCTTGGAATTCATTCACTTCGCAGTTGAAGCCAGTAAATATCCACATCCTGAGTGCGGAGGTAGACGAGAGTAACGTCAGTCCAAAGCCTAGTTTCAGACGGAAGTCGACAGATAGGCAAAGGCAGAGCTTGGGCGTGATTGGAAGTGCCATGTTTCAAAGGGAGGATGTGAAAATCGCATTCGAGAAGCCCAAGTTTCACACCTTGGTTCACCTTGACCTCAAATCCTCACTTCGATTACCTTTCATCCGTGAAGTTCTCGTTTTCCTGAAGAGATACGGGGCGACAGGAATTTTGCTCGAATTTGAAGACACTTTCCCTTTCCATGGCTTATCTGCATCAAATGCATATCTGCTTGAATCAGTGGAATGGATTACCAAGACCTGTCAGGAACTGGAACTGGAGATTGTTCCCTTTCTCCCATGCCTTGAGGGACTGGACTTCATCCTTAAGTTGGAAGATCATGTATTTCTGCGTGAAAATGCCTACAATCCGTCAAAAATGTGCACTTCATGCCAAGAATCTTTCACATTTCTTAAAACTATACTGGACAACTTTTTGTATGCATTTGGTGATTTGAGCTGGATCTACCTGGGGTCTTGTCTCCCAAACTCTTCATCCTTTGCACTCATGACCCAGATTGTGAATTACATCAGTGACAAGTATAATCTTGGCACTCTCATTGATGCCAAATGCTTAATTGAATCAAACACCAATATAGAATCTACAGAGCCTGTTTTGAATCTTGTAGACATCCAAAATCATCTGCGAACTCAGAAACTTCTAGATGGCTATCCAGGTATTTGGCTGTTGACATCTTACAAATGTGCTCAGCACTCTAATTCCATTGATTACACAGAAATGCTGGGTTTCATGGAGGAGATTTTCAAAGAATCTCCAGCATCAATGCATGGAGTAATTTTCTTTGGTCCAGAAAGACTGAATCATTTTGCCCCTCTGTGTGAACTTCTCCCCTCTTCCTTCCCTTCACTCATACAATCTATCTCACTTTTTTCAAACATGAAAGTTCAATGCACCACTAGTGATCTACGTGAAAAGCAGTGTCATTTCCCTGGAGTGCAGTTCTATGACACACTACAAGAACTGAAAAGTATAAAAAGTTTAGATCTGAGAATGAGGCTTAGCTATAATGAGAGACGAGGACTTATAGATCCCCAATTTCTTTCCACTCTCTGCCCAAAAGTTCCAACTGGCAAACAAATGGAATTGCTGAGAGAAGATCTCACAGAGAAGCTCAGCACCTTCTATGTGGAAGCAACTGTTGAGGAATGGCTGGAAGACAACTTTGACCCACTCAATGAGGCAGTGAAGACAACACAAAGGCTCTGTGAAGCTGGGAAAGGAAAGACAATCTGGCCCAAACGCCCCCTGGTCCCCTTGGATGACCACAACGAACTTAGACTTTCTGATCTGTGATTGGTTTCATCATGCCATTGTGATCATCTCGTCAAAGGCAGATCTCTTCAAAAATTGCCAAGTATGGCTCATGAATGAGTACAACCAGTAAGTTTCTCTTGCAAACAGTGATGTGACTAGTGGGGAATCTGTCAGTCAATCTAGAACCCCCCTTGAATACAGATACCATGTATTCAATCTCTTCTATGCAATTTTTGCATTCTACTAATGATATTTTATTGAGCTTCCCCCAAGGTATGCCAAAGCCTGAAAGTGCTTGGAATAAAATAATGATACATTTTCTTTATTAATACGGGTGCTTTAGACACCAGTTTTGAGATTCTTGTCAAAGGCAGTTTCCATGGAGGGAGTGTCTGCTTCTGATTGACTGCTGGAATCCTGGGATTCTCCTCTCTTCATTTCTCTCAACTTCTTCTTCAACCCTCTCACCTGAGAAACAGTTCATCAAGTGAATTCTCTAGTCATATGATGTGATAGTTGATTTTGTACCAAAACCTAAGACACTGAATTCTTTCATCAAGAATAAATGTAAGTGTTTCTGACATAGACCTTTTCATGGAGTTCTTTATTTTCTGCAGCAGCTGATTCCAGGATGTTCTTCATCTTGGTCCTCCAGTCTGCTTCCCATACTCTCTCTCTCTCTCTCTCTGCTACATTAATACCCAATCCATGAAGAGAATAATTCAGCTTAAGTTAGAGGGCTATTCAGATTAAACTTAAAAATGAAATATATCAGTTTTATTAAGATGTGAGGCACACTGGTTTTGCAAAGAATCAGAAACCAATGCATCCCAGTTACATAGGAGTCAATTTTTGAACACGTTACACAAAATGCAAGTGTTGTAGGAGGAGCACATGCTACAACAGTCGACTCCACTTAATTGAATACAGCTAAATGGAATGCCATTGCATGATCCCAATTTACAGTATGATACAGCTGATAGTTTCAGTTATTGGAATACTCCAGATTATAGAATACAGTTCCCTGGTCCCATGAGTATTCCAATTTGCAGAGTGGACTGTACTTGTTCTCAGACCTGTCAGCCAGCAATATGGATGAACAACATGAGCAAAGATGTTTTATGAAGTTTTGTGTCTTAAAATAAGAAAAATGCAATGGAAAGATCTTGAATGATTCTTCAGAATTACACTCATGGTGAAAGTTTCAAACAACATTTCTTAGCACATCTTTTCAAACTTGTCTGCAGGGTAGCTAAGAGGCATGAGTTTCTGATTCTTTGCAATTTGGCAATTTGGGTGTGTCATACATGGAAATTTTCAGAAAATTTTAATTGAACAGCCCACATAAAACTCATTTTCACTTTTATGATGATCAGTTTCAGGACTCACCTTGGGTGGCCTTGAGCTGTGCCATGAGGGTCTTCATCTCCTCTCTTGTCACCCTTACCTCCACCAGGAGGTCCCTCTTCTCTGACTCGCATTTTGACAGGTCCTCCTCTAATTTCTTTGATAAGAGAAACTATACTGTTGTTGCATGGCCCTTACCTTAAAAGGTATTTTTAGATATGCAGAAACCTAACAGCACAACTGCATTTCGTAGGAAATCAAAATTTGTGAGGGTTCAATATGCATTTACTAGGCCCTTTGAGCATTTACTCCACATCTGTTAGCAGGTTATTGGCAGTTCATTGGGCAGTCCAAATGAAAGTTTGTGTTACCAATAGTTGGATAGGACAAAATTGAGTTTATGGACAGTAGTACAGTAACATCAAGCTTTTCACTCCCAAGCCTTAGTAGGTAGTAAAATTCCCAAGCTAGTTTTATACTGAATTGCAGAGTAAATGAAAAATCATTATATGTCCAATTTAACTATTATTGTCTGTCTCAAGTAATCTAAGAAATACGTGGGGTGATCAAAAAGTTCCAAGTCTTATGTACTTCCAGTTGCAATACAGCATTTTTATTTTTCATGAGAAGCCAGATGTCTTTGATGATGATTGGCGAAATTTCATCAAATTCTCATCATAAAGGTAGCTTCTATGAATTTTTTTCAATGTGCTACTAAAAGGTCTGCTGAAGGGGTATAAAAAGTGACATGAATGCTGTGTTGAATTTTATAGCTTCTAAGGAGTCAATCTTCCAGCAGATCTTTCAACTACTAAAATAATATAATCCCCTTGATACTTCTATAAAAGATCTGCTGGGAGATCAACTCCTTAGAAGGTAGAAAATTCATCACAGCATTCATGTCACTTTTTATACCCTTTTGATTACCCCATGTAAATGGGCAAAAAACTGTGTAAACTTGCATCCTTTCTACTTGATCTCCATAATGCATGTAACAATTTTTAATTTAAAAGCACGAGCAAAATTGATAGGATACAGGCATTTATGGGGAGAATAAGGGACAAGCAAAAGCAAAGGGAAAGTTTTTTTTTTCTTTTTCAATTTCTTAGATAAACTGAAACGGACAATAGCATATAAATCTAGTGATAATATATCAGCACCTTGGGATTCTAAGGGTTAATAATTACTACCTTTTTACCATTTCTAACACTGATGAGAATGAACTCATTATAAGCTGATCATTGCTATGGCAACTAGAGGTGTAACAATATTATCAGCAGTGATGTCATTTGGCAGGACAATAAACAGTTATTAAAAGCAGAACTCCAATTTCTTGTTAATTCTTGAATAATATGTAATGCTGTCTGGCTTTTCAGAGAAATAAGGACTCATTCATTCACTTGTCTGTCTGTCCCAACTTAATGGGGGGGGGGGTGTTCAAGCAGGCCCAAGCATCTTTCAATGTTCTCAAGCTCAGCAGGTAGGATACTGAGCCTTTTGTAACTAAGCTTTACTTCACAGTTACTCCACCTTGAATGACTGGTTATTCCATTTCATACCATAGATTGAAAGTTTCTTTTTGTGAGTCTGGGGGCATGCAGCAAACCCATCTCCAAACCACAGTACCTGAGATATCCTGATCTGTAGTTATAGCCACTTGACTTGAAGGCTCCAATGGATCCTGCCACTCCATGCCCATATTTTTGCATAATACCAATCATCTACTCTCATTTAAGCAGGTTAAATCTGTAACCTGGTTCTTTTGGTCATTCCAAATGTTTGAGGCCATAGGTGAGGGTGGAGAAATAAATACTCTTAAAAACTAAGTTACATCTCCATGGGAGGTTCCTATTTGACTACCACTATCTGCTAGCATTCCTGAAAACTGCAAAAACCTTGGAGATGCACTGTTCATCTTGTTCCATACTACCCCACACTCATAAACTGAAGTTAAAAATAATTGAATGTCTCCTGTTCTGGTGAGGTCCTAGGACATACAGGGTGCACTACATGGGATTGGTCTGGAGTACTGTAGTTTGGGTTTTGGGACCACTTGGTTTCATGCTTGCCTGTCTCGTGAAATTTTGTATTTGGAAATAATGTGTGAATATAATTGTCACATTGTTTCAACAATCTATTTTTCCCTATGTAATATAAAGAAAGAGTCTTTTCTCCCCTTAGCTTTTGTGCAAAAACTTGATTGCAGCCATACAAACTTCAACCTACACTGTTATTCTTATATGATGCCTACTTTCCCAGATGCATGGGGTTGAAAGTAACTCATCTCAGATCACCCACAAAAACTTTCATATAGGCCAGTTCCAAAGTTACTGACATAACACCAGACTCAAAATGAAATCATCTATGATGCTACATCTTAAAGATGGTTTGGTTCAGAAATTCTACTTCAACAGTGCTTTATAGAGCAGAGGTACCTGTATCTATTCCTGTCAAAATTTTCTCATTCTCCCATGGATGAAAAAAAAAGGAAGGTCATTCATGTTGTGTTACTGATGTAACACAGTTTAGGCAACGATTTTCATTCTGCTGCTTCCCTTCCAATTTTCTCTGATTTGGCTTCACCTGAAGCTTCCATATGTTCAGAAAAGAATGCATAGACCATCCCCTTTCTTCATGCCAAATGGCGTTTTTTGTTGCTCAAAAATGAATTGGCTAGGAGAGCTTTCTGGTGTTACTGATGTAACATATTAGTCAAAAAGTGAGATTCACCAAGCAAGTGTTAAATTCATTCAAATGGAATGATGCAGGAGCAATGAAAAACCATCCTACTTCAGGTGATGAATGTTTAATGGAGCTTATTTGGTCCAAGTTTAGTACCCATATAGTGCAGGAAACATAAGCTGGATGACAGTTTTGTAAATCAATTGTTTCCCACTTTTGTCCCAATTACTCTGGAACTGCCCCATAATGAGAATAAATTTACTTGCTGAGAGATGGTGAAATGACGAACTCTTACTTGAACAAGTCTTTTAAGTTGTTCTTGAGATGTAGACATGACATCTGAGGTGGAGGAAGAAGAGGCAGATTTTAGGTGGACTCTATGCTCCAGGGAATCCCTGTCCCTCTGCAGGCATTCATTGATACGCTTTAATGCAGCCACCTGTCGCTCCAGCTCAACCACCTTCTTCCGATCTTCCTTGACGACCCCATTTGGCATGCTTCCTCTTCTACTCCTCAATGGAGATGGGGTTGACCTCTGAGGCCCCTCATGATTCAATGATCTTTGCAGCTGAATCTCCTTTTGCTTCAACTCCAGTTGAAGCTCTAGGTTTTCTTCTCGAAGTCGAACAATTTCTCCACACTCTTCTTGCCTCTTATTTTGCTCTTCCTGCATCATTTCATACACCTAATTACAGCTGCTTTTTTGATCAAATATTTTAATATAATTACAAAAGAGCTACTTGATCAAATGTTAACCTCCCCATAATTCTCTGAGTAAGACAAAAGAAGCATCTGGTGCACTATTAATACCTGCATAGCAATCTGTCTTATCATCACCAACAGAATGGTATGATGAGAGCATTGTACAGGATATGGCAGAAAAGATTACCCAGACTTTTAAATTACTTTTAACTTTTAACTAACTCACACTTCCTGAAGAGAAATCCAAGATCAATGTTGGATAACATGGTGGCTGAAATCTCCTGGATAGGATGTTGAATGGTTTCAAATTTGACTTACACATCACAGGAGAACACAATTAGATGTTTTTCAAGTTTCAATTGTGTGTCTTAATAAACAAAGGAATGATGTCATGGGGATAACAGAAGAACTTATAAAAGTTTTTACCAGTGCTTCCCATGTGGAATCCCTATACTTGATCGGCTTTCTCAGGGAGAGCCTTCCACTGCACCTCATTGTCATGCAGGGTCATATATGAAGAAATAAAATGCCAAAATGATACTGAATTGCATTACATTGTTCACAGGCTTCTGAATGGCCAATTTAACTTAAAATTTAAAAAAATTACCAACACATGTGACACCGTTAACTTCCATTGAGTCCTAGCTCCACCAAAATGAATTTTAACAAAATATCAAGCGTTTCTTTGAAAACTTATTAAGCTTATGCAAAGTGCAAATTTTGCAAAAATAGCAGCCAAGCAAACCATACTACTCATACTATTGGTTCATAGTATGAGTAGAGATTAAATTTATTAAAAGTTGGATAAAAAAGAAGGCTGAGAATCAAGCTAGGTAAGAAAGAGATCAATAAAGAATTCCTGTCATCCTCTTCAACTCTTCCCATCTCATTTAAATTATGCTGAGGTGTGTGGTTATTAACATTTTTTTGTCATTTTGTGCCATATCTAGTAGATCTTCCCTTACTGCCAGATCCTTTACCTTCACATCAGTTTCAGTTTCCAGGCATCTTACAGTTATTGATCATGAATGCCTCACCCTGTTTAGCTAGGTGGGAGATTGTGGGAGATTGGGGAGCTATTTATGGTCAATTCATGATTACTCTTTTGATTGCAATTAAAATCTTAATCAGGCAATTAATCTGATTAAATTGGCAGCCTTGCTAATAATCATACACCTCAGCATAATTTGTATATGGGAAGGAGAGTTGAAGAGGATGGCAGGAATTATTTATTGTTCTCTTTCTTATCTAGCTAGATTCTTAGCCTTTTCTTTTTTACCCAGTTTAAATTAGAAGTTTCACTCTACTTAGCTGGCATTTGACAACCATATCTTTTTGTAGCATGAATCTGCCAAGCATTTTCTTTAATTTGCCAGACTCTGGATTACTTTCCTCATCCATTGCTGGAATGACACCTTTTTTTTCACTTTTGGGCATGAACTGGCCTCTTTTTTTTCTTTCTTGAAATCTGCTTATTTTTATTTTTATTTTTATTTTACTCAGATACCATTGATATTTTCTTTAATTTTCCAAAATATGATGGTGTCCTGGCCTCCCTGCAGCAATTACAATGGTTGCAAACTTGAAGTAATTCACAAACCTTGAGTTTTTGGAGCATGTTGTCAAGGAACTGCAATTTCTCTTTGAGTTCCTCCAGTTCAGAGCATTTAGACTGGAGTTCATGGAGAAGTTCAGATTCTCTGGCTTTGAATTCTGTAACTAGTGGAAATTTGGTTTCCCCCTTTGATGGTCTTTGACTTGAAAGCTGATCTTGCTGCTCCTTAGCTGGGAATAAAGACGCCTTTGAGATGGTCTGCCTCTGCCGCTGGGCTTCAAACTTCTTGACCAAACTCCGTAGAGTGGCATTGGTTGATTCCATGCTTTGCACTTTCCTCTTCTCCTCATGCAACTTCTCACGAAGGGAATTTACTTTTCCTTCCCAACGCTTGCTCTCTTCCCAACGAGCTACTTCTCTTCCATTCTACATGAAAGGTGCCATCCAGTGGTAGAATCCAGCCATTTGTCTCTAATATTTGATATTTGGAAAACTAATACATTCACTAATTTTTATTGCCAAATCTTCCATTATAAGGCAATTTCATATTTATTCTTCCAAATACTCTATTATCTATTATGTTTGCAATTTTATATTCCCAACAAGGCATAAGGACTGACCTTTAAGGCCTTATCCATATCTTCAATGTGTTTCTTTTTCAGTTCTTCCAGTTCCTTCTCTTGATCCTTCAGGGTAGTATGGAATCTCTCAACTTCAGCCTTGACTCGATTCAATTCCTCAGTGATTCTCTCGCTCTCTTGGGCTTCCTCACCTGATTTGTCTCCCAGTCTAGAACGAAGGGCAATCACCTGGAAAGCGACTACTGGGGTCAACTAGGACATATTGCAACACTTGAGGTTTATGGTTTTGATAAATGGATGCTAGCACACCTTCTTATGGAGGGAGGACTTTTGAGATGAAATTTGAATGAGTTGACTGTTCCTGGATTCAAGGGATTCTCTAAGGGTTTTGGCTTCTTGAAGAGCTTGATCTTCCTTCTCTCTAGCCTGTTTCAGCTCTGTTTTTGCAGCACTCAATTTCTCACGCAGGTGTCGGGTCTCTTCCTGCGAACAGTCAAAATGACACACCCATTCATTTCACAATTCATGAAATGTACCATTGATCAAGCTTTTTGTCATCTGAGTCATACTTCAAGCGATTGAGTGTACTCATCAGGACCTGAAGAGAGTTCTCTGGGCAGGGCCTGCCTGGCTGTCTCACCCGCTCGCAATACCTCTTCCTAAGTCAGAGAAAAACCAAAGACTCAATTTCATCACATGCACAACCTTTTCACTAGGGTCTAAGTCTCAAAGATTAAGCAACATACCTTGAGGAGTCCAAGGGCCTTGCCAAGAGCATCCTGCTGCCTTTCTTTCTCAGTCAGCTGGAGCCTCAACCGCTGGACCAGATCCCTGAGTGCCTTGGATGGAGACTTCTTCAATGCCTCTCTATGGATGGCCAGCTCTGTATGAAGCTCTGATCTCTCATTGGCTGATTCCTTCAAGGCAGATTGAAGTCTGGAGATCTCTCGCTTCAGGCTTCGTGTCTCACTCTCGTGCATGTGTGACAATCTATACAGGTGTAGCAATAGTAAAATGTATGCATTTGATGTATCCTGTACAAAGACAAGCAAGTAATTCAGCACAATTGGGTATCTATATATACATTTTGTCTCAAGATGTTTGGGAAGTTGAACAGATGAGAGCCAGAAGAAGCACTGAGAATCCAGCACGATGAGGATCAATGGATTTTTAAAAATTTTTTTTAGAGTACTTGTGTCCAAGATATTTCTTAAGAAGTGACTTAGCTACTTCTGAGCAAAGCAGGTCATGGAGAAGGTAAAGTAAAGAAAAAGTTAAGTCAACTTATCAACTTAATCAGTTTGACTGCTCTGCAAGAATCTAGTGTTTTGTGAATTCTGCATTTACCTCCATATACTAATGCTTTCTCATCTGGAGGTCATATATTATTCAACTACATGCATTTAACATTCCTTTTAGCCCTTCTGAGCCAATGAAGTTTTACAAGGAAGGTGTGCCAAATTTTAAGTTCATTCAGCCAACATAGGGATGAATAGAATTTATTTTGGATCTGAGTGAAGGTGTTGGTGATGACATGGACTCCATTCCAGTCAAGAATTCCACTGAAGTGCCAAATGCTAACTCACTAAGTCCTTCACATGATAGAGAATGAATTATGAAAACCTTTTCTCAAGAATGTTGATATCCTTGAGTCGAGTCTCGGCCACCTGGCGCCACCGGCTTGCTTCTCCTTGTAAAGAATTCATCTGCTCTGCTAGGGTCCCTGTGAAATACATATTAAAAAATATAAAAACAAAAACAAAGAAAAGAGGAAGTAAATAATTAACACAAGAATCAACCAAGTGCAGCATCCTTCTCCCGAAGAGCAGTTTCCATATCTCTTAGCCGCTGCTCCTCCATTGCCAATTCCAGGGGCTTCTCAGAGTCCTCTCTTACAAGTGGCAACTGTGCTTGATCCATCACAGCCATCTTTAATCTGCCAAATGCATCACAACATTATTGTAATTACTGGAACTACTTGTGAATTGAACTTGCTTTTCTTTTGCATTTGCAATATTAACACAATAGTTTTACCAGTTACATCTAGATAGTCAAATGTAGCAAACAGACCGTTGAACAGAACGTTCTTGGATGGCATGCAATGCCTGCTGTGCACGCTGGAGGTCCTGAGCATGAGACCGCTGGAGTTCAGTTGCTTCTTCCCGACTCTGATGAAGCAGGCGACTGAGGGTCTCAACACTCTCCTCCTTCTGCCTCAGCCGTGCCTCTAAGTTCCATATTGTTCTCTGAGACATCTACATCACAGTTATAATGAGGCAAAAGAAGAAAAACTTATAGAAGCTTGAAAGACTCTTAATCAGAGTGGCATGAAGGATAGGACTCACTTGAATCATTTCCCTCAAATCAGGACTGGAACTTAAACTGGTAAGTGAGGGATGTGAGGCTGGTTCACCCCTGGACCCTTGAGTGAGTTGAAGTCGAAGGTCCGAGATGACCTTCTCACGTTGTAACAAGGTGTCTTGAAGTGCTGCCTGAAGACGCCTCAGGGACCTCCCCTCTGTCTCAAGAACTTTAATCTCATCTTTCAGGTTCTGATGTTGAGTGACTCCACACAAACCTTTACTCTGCATACCAGGGATGGTCTGCTAGATTTGTCACAAAGGAACAAAAGGAGGTGGGCATTTCTCAAAAACTAACCTCCTGTTGAAGTCTCTCAGGAATGTTCTGGATGCCATATTCCCGTCTTTCCCTTTCTTTCTCAGTCCAGAGTCTCTGCAGTGTAGGACTTTCAAACCTGGTTCCCGTACTCTCCCCTTTGACTTCCTGGAATTTAAGCTTGCACTCTCAACTTGTCTACATAGAAAATATGCTTGCAAAGATAATATGGGAAAAGGTAGTACTTGAAATTTAAGTTCAGGGTGTGATTGAGAGGAGAGTCTATGAACATGAAGGAGACTCTCTTGGAGTGCAGTCAATAGTGTCTCTTGTCGCTGAATTACACCTCTAAGATGAGACACCTCGCTCTCCATCTGACCACCTCGACACTCCAAAACTGACACCTATTGATCAATTATCCAACCAATGTCTTCTTTTACTGACTCAATGAATTTACATTTGCTACCTGAGCCTCTGGCAGCATGAAATTATATTTTACAAGATCACATACCTTAACAGAAAGCTGAGTGACTTTACTTTTCCATTCATCAAGGATGGAATCTGTCTCATTCTGAGTGCCTTGTAAAGCTTTGAGGGCATCATCAATGACCTGCTTCTCAGCAACCAAAGCAGCTTTTTCCTGAGAAACAGCATTGACCTGTGTTTGTAGGAATTCAACATCCCTCCAAGCATCCATTCTTCCTTGCCGAAGATCTTCAAAGATCTCTAAAATCCCTTCCACCTGGGAGAGGCCCATGTATCCTCCATACTCAGCCCGCAGCTCCACGTAGCTCCCATACAGTGCTCTATCATGCAAACCAGTGCCATCACATTCTTGGTGAGATGAGAAAATCAGTTTTGGCCTAAGGTAGAGGTAGCAATATAGAGATGATTTAGCATTGCCTACCAACTTAGAAAATCTATGTCAGAAATTAAGCCAGAATATGTCAGGATCAGTCTAATCAAGCAGTCAAAAAAGTGAAATCACAACAGATAGAGTTTTTAAGATGTCAGACAAAGACATAAGACAAAAATTTAAGTCATAACATATAGGGAATAAATAAGTAACAATTGAATGAGGCCAACAGCCTTTACTCAGCTATGGTACTGACCTAATGATTTCAAGATGTTTCCAACTGAGAACTAGTGTATATGAATAAATTGTTTTCCTGACTAGGAACATCATGAATATTTCAGTAATTCCCCACTCCCCAAATAATGAATCTTCACAGTCATTATAAATCAAAATTAATCAGGTATGCTTTCAATTAGGAACACAGTACAGTGAAGGGTTGATATAGCCTAAAATTAGGAAGGTTTCTTCTGTTTTAAAAACAATGGTTATATACCGGATATCTTTATTCCTCTTCTCAATGGCACCAAGGGCAATGTGCCGAGCTGAGGCACTTCCATCTTCTAGTCGAATGATTTGCGCTTCCTTCTCCTTCAATAGCCTCTTATATTTGACCAGGTCTTCCTCCCTGTCCTTCTTCCAGTGCTGTAAGACCTTCAGCTCCTCGTGCAAGCATCCTTCAGCCATAACATATCAATGCTAAAAACATTTTTCCTCAATCCTCACAATCATCACAGCTAGATGACTGATATTTCAAGTCTCACCAAGAAGAGTCTTGTCAGCGTGGTCTTGTTGATAGTCAGTCACTTGTTTTCTTAAGGCACTAATTTCAACATCCTGACGATCTCTCTTGGACTGCAAAGCACTTACTTGGTGCTGGAGGATTTCCATTGTTATCTCCAGTTCTTGCTTGGATTGTATTGATTCCACCTGGTACATAAAGAAACTCCTGACTCCATACTATTTTGAAACCAATATATCTTTCATTCAGAACTGACCAGATCTTTTTCAAGTTGAGCAGCACGAGCTTGAGATGCCTCTAAATTCTCAAGAGTGGAGAGGATGCTAAGGAAATTGTTCATCTTTCCTCCTTTCTCCTCAAAGGTCAGCTCCTCAAGACTGACGAGGAATGGACAGTTCAAATACATATACCTTGATGACTTGACTAGGAGGATGAAGACCCTACCTCTTCTCCAGCTGAGCATTACGTGCCTCCAGATGAACCAATTGCTGCTTGATGGTATCACAGAGTCCCTGGAAGTGGTCAGCCCGGTGTCGCTCCCGTACTTCACGCACCTCACATTCTGCCAACCTTTGCGTCATCGTATCACTCTCCAATGAACAATTGGCCTGAGATGCAAGGAGATAATGCCAGGAAACAAAAAACATGAAGGAATGGAAAAATTAAATACATCAGAGGACCTAGGGATAGATGTACCTGAAGCATAGATAATTCAGCCTGCTTCTTCATTTCCAATTCAGCTTCCAGTTCTGCTTTCTGGCTCTGCAGGGTCCTCACTGCATATTGAAGCTGATCCAGTTGATTCATCTCAGGAGTCTATTAAATATTGTACTATTCTCAGCAGCCATATGATTACTTAAATAACTTTTTTTTAATGTATGTGGCACACTGAACAGAAACAGACTTTATTTAATAAGTAAAAAAAACTCTATGCTCATATTTTCATAGATTGCAGTTCATTTTCTAACAAATCCAAAAATAGAATTAAAAAAAAAAGTATGTTCTGTTCAGCACATTAAATTAACCCAATTTTCAAGGTAATTGAAAAAAATATACACTCATGAATCAGTAAAACTTTTTTGGATCTTTCGATCCTTTTTTCCTTTTAAAGGTATCTTACCTCACACTGGAAATAACAGTGCCCTCCCACAGAACTGAAAATTAATAGCTTTTTTTAGAAGTACAAAAACTGTTGTTCATCAAATGGAATTGTTACTTCAAGAAGAAAGTAATAATAAAAGATATAGTAACATTGTAACAATAATAATAATAATAATAATAGTTATAATAGATCACAGAAATAACACTGTTTGTAACATATTACAACTCAACCCTATATATTTATTTATAGTAAGTTCATCTTCCATTGTTACTAGTAAGTAATGAAAGAAAGAAAATTACCATCCCATGATTTACAAAGGATAAAATGAACTGACACAAATAAAATCATGGAAGCAGAAAGGAAGACCTCACACTGGCATTATGGTTCATGGAATGAATAAAAGAGTGAAAGAAAAAGCAGAAATATACAGGAACAAAATATAAAAGGACATGAGTAAAGTGGTCAAGATCAAAGAAATAACAGATCCTAGGAAACTAAGAAACAGGAACCAGCTTTCAGGTAAAAAGACAGACTAGAGAGAGCAGAGAGAATAAGTCATGCTCATTACTCTTGTCTATGTCTCTGTACCTGAAGAAGGACTCGTGTCAAAAAACTACTTCCCATTCCAGGGAACTGTTTTTTATTTCTGCGATCTTGACCACTGTACTCATGTCCTTCAATATATTGTACCTCAAGTATTTTTATGCTTTGCCTTTCACACTCTTATTGTTCAGCATTCTATTAACCATAGTGCCAGTGATGAGCTCCTCCTTTCAGCAATCAGTCTCATAATTGTCAGAGTCATATGACAGAGTTCTGAATCCTGATTATATAATTTGCTAACAGGTCTGACTTTTGGTAAAAGAGCTTCAAATCCAACTTAAGGCATCAGTAAGAGAGCAAAGAAGTTGTACATGCATTTTTTGTTCTCTCCCTTTACAAGAATGACTGCAGGAAAAAAAAAAAAACCCAACAATCTTATGGAGAGCCAGACGAAGCTTTTGCCCCAGTTCATCCTGCTTCTGGAGAAGCTTTTCAACCTCTGATTGGGAGACACTAGACTCGAGCACTCTCTCCAAGCACTGGACTTTGTACCACATCACCTCCTGCACATCAAAGATGGTATTTTGACTAGTTCTTCCACCAATATCTCATATAAAACCATGATGCTCAGAAACACAAGGTCTCACATTGTTCTTTTGCAATGTGGTCATCTTCTGGATGGTGAGAGCTTCCATGTCTGCAGCCATTGAGAGGAGCTGATCTCTCTCTTGGTTCAGGGTTTTGACTGATGATTCGAGATGTACAAGACATCGACGAAGTGCGGCCTCCTCGCACCGTACAACTGCTACCTTACGGGCAGTCTCACACCCTAATCGCTTCCATTCTTCCTCATTCCCATTATTTATAACTGAGAGATGCTGCTCATACTCCTCCACTCTCATCCCCAGCTCTTCACATCTCCCCTACAAAGGGCATCTCAAATAAATGCCTCAGGCATAAAAGAAAAATCCTATTACAAACGCTGAACATAACCAAGCTAAATAGCTAAGAAACCTGGGACTGTGAGAGCAATTGTTGAAGCTGAGATTGTTCTGCCTTCCATTCTCTTTTCCCCTGAGCATATTCCTTGTACAGCTGGGCAAGCTGCCTCTCAAGTCCCTTCACTTGCTCTCCCCATCGCTCCAACTCTTCACATGACTTCCTCACAGTTTGTTCTTTCACCCTATCATGGTTCATATGAAGCAAAATATGATCATGTTTGCACATATTAGGAGAAACTCATAAGGTCAAATCCTCATATTTAAAAATTTTGCTTCACAGCTGGTTCCTTGAAGAATTACATCGAAGACAATATTAAAAATTCATATTTAGTCAAACTAGCAAATCTCAAATTTCCTCAGATTTATTGCACAATACTTTCATTCCTAATTCAAATTATATCAAATTAAATTTGAAGTTCAAAATGGGGATAATGAAAAATAAATAAATTATGAACTGGGGTTCTTTTTGGTTTATTGATTTCATGATAAATGAATCAAATCTGTACAACCAGGCAAACAGGTAAAATTTCTTGTTTGGTTTTTTATCTTCCCCTTCCCTCCCTAATGCATACACAGGGCATTAAAACAGAATCATCTGTGATATAATATGTGAAAACATTGGTACATGCCCGACCTATCTCCCCAGTATGGATAAAACAATATTTAATGGTTATCAGTTACTGGCCAAAATAAGGAAATATATATATAATGGGTGAATGATATATATGAATTGATGATATCCAACATGAATGACTGGCCCCAGATACAGGAAGGGTAGGGATCATTCAGAAAGCTGGTATCAGTATGTAAAGACACAATAACTAGCAAGGCCTATTTCTTAGCTCTGCCCTTTCTTCCATCTTTGTTTACCCAGTAGTTCTGTTAATGCAAAATTCCATCAAATTAGCACAGGGGAAACTTAAAGATGACTTAAAGATAAAGACTTAAACTTGATATCAACCAGGCTTGGTGGAATGTGGAAATCATGTGTGTCTGAAGTCAATGAAGAAGCCATTTGTTTTTACTTCCCAGTCTGACTGCAATGATTTCCAACCTCTTCAAGAAAAAAGGGTGTCTGCACCTTGCCTCTTTTCTGAGGCAATTTCCATTCATTTTCTCCCATTACTCACTGCTCTTCAATTACTCAGGTGAATTTTTTAAAGATAAAGTACAGTGCACATTTTTGTACATTTGTAATTTTTAATGCTTTTTGCATATTTTTTTATACTAGTAGTTTTTTCAATACAATTTTCCCCCATTTTTTTCCATTTTGAGCATTCATATATTCTGTGCCCATAAAGTAACTTGACAAAACTATTTATTTTCTCGTCGCTAACCGAAATGTAAAATTGACATATTTCAAAATAGCATATCATGGATTTTTGCATCACCTCATCCTGATCAATTAACCAACAATTCAGATTTCAGATGCTTCCTAGGTGCCTGAATTCAAGGCGAACCTCACCACCTATCAAGATAATGGAGACTTGGGCATCTATTTAGGCCTGGAATGAATTGCTTACATCTTCAAATTATTTTAAATTGACTAATCAAACTGGGAGTCAAAGAAGAAACCATTAATATAATATCTGATCGATGTATTCAGAAAGCCCAAGGATCCAATAATGGGCTCAATGCTCGATATCAAAATCAGAATCTTTATGCATTGCTTTTCATTCGCCAAACATTAAGTTATAAGTTTTTCCAGATTAGTCCTATCCTTAGTCCAGGGAATGGTTACATCCTGTGCTTATGCCACTCTAAGATACCCATAGGCTTTTACTTGATCAGAGTCTAGTAAAACCTGACCTGGCATCCTTGAGGAGCATGACAAGATTTTTTGCCATGATGTCCTGATCTTCATTGTTCACAGAGGGCTTGGATTTAATCCCACCTGTACTGAAGGCTTTGATTTCCTTGCGTGCAAGGCGCAACTCTTCCCTCAGTTGTGCACTGCGTGCTTCAGCTGCTACAAGCTCATCCTTCAAAACCAGATCAGGTTGGTGGAATCCATTGAGCAATGCCCTGTTGTCTAGAGCTCGCACCACCTTCTCCAAGCTTGGACACTCCAGATGCACTTCACTCACACCTGGATATCAGACAAAAATAAGACACTGCAAAAACTGAAGTCAAAATGTGAACACCGAAATTCATGTATCAAAGATCAGTGACCATCTTGCTGTCGAATGGAATGCAAGATCTCCTTGAGCCCTTGTCGAAGAAAGTGGTTTTCAGTCTTAAGGTCTTCCCATGCCTTCCTGAATTCCTCAATTGATGGAGAGTCATCTATTTTCTGTGTGGCAGTCCCTCCACTGTCTACACCTCGCACATGAACCTGTTCCTGATCCTTCTCCTTTCGTATCTGGGGAGTTGAATGTTTCTTTACTAGTAAGCAAAAACAGAGAGAGATAGAAAGAGAACCAGATGAACCTGCAGTTTCAGACGGAGATTCTCATCTTGAAGGAGATCCAGTTTTCGATGAAGGGAGCGTAGTAGACTCCGGTCAGTCTTGTACGCTGAGAGACTCTCTGATGGCTCCAAGCCCAACCGCTGCCTGTAATGAAACGATGTAGTCTACTTATTTGGAAAATGAAAGTAAACAGATCCTTATTCACCCACAAATACACCAGAGGCAAGAAACATGATGGATGCAGAGAAAATACCTGATGAATGATTACAAATTATAAGTTGTAATAGAATAAAGTAATAAAAGTAAAAGAGAATGTATGTGTGATGCTAAATGCATGTAGGTGTGATGGTAAATGGCACAAATAAATGAGTGAATGGATGAAGAAAAAGCCACAAATCCTCTTTTTTATGCCATGCAATGCCAGTGCAAATGCAATGCTGCCAAGGAACACCAGAAAGCTATAAGCACCAGTACTGGTACTCAGAAGAGTACAATACCTAAGAAGCTCATTCTCCTCGACAGCCTCTAGAATAGTAGCATCAAGGGAATTCAGTTGAGATGTGAATTCCTCAATCTGCTGATCCCGCACCCTGACCTTCTTCTCACACTCTCTCAGGTCCCGAACAGCCTCAGCCAAACCATATTCACCAGCCTCATACTCCCGCAGCCGAGACACCACCACCGACAACTTTTGTTTTTGTTCATTCAGCATATTGATGTTGTTTCCAGGCAAAGTCTACACTGTAAAAGGATGCTGCCTACCTGTTGATCCTTTGCATGAGCTTGCTCCTCAGCTTCCTGCACACTTATCTTTAATGCTTGATTCCTCTTTCCCAAAGCTGCTATTTGGGCATGGAGCTCCTCTATCATCTCAACCTCTTGTCCTCCTCTGCCAAGCAATTGAATGATATCAAACAATGAACAGTTATCATTGAAGCATTGAACTGTGTTTGAGGAGACACAATAAGGGCCGATTGCATGAACGATGTTTATTTTAGACATTGATTATCGATAGTCATTGTTTAAACATTGTCTACGAAAACATCGGTTAACTGCTGTCTACTTTCGATTGCATGAACGATCCCTAAGCCATGTTTTCATAGCCGATGGCTAGACGATAGCTAAACACCCCTCATGGTACATATAGCATGTTCTGACTCCTCAGTTGGAGCGTAATATACTTCGGACTCCACAAAAAACGAGCGAATCAAGTGAAAAGGAGAACCCTTCCTCAGACTATTAAGCACATCTCGCAGAGCTTGTAAAGGAGAATCTCACGATAGAGAGAGACATAATGCACTTTCCTTGCACAACAAATAATCATGCCTGGAAACTGATGAGTTCTCCTCTGACCTTATTCTGTATTTTGATATATCAGAGGTAAAGCCAAGGATTCGTTTTGGACACACGGAGAAGTAGGAAATGTGAAAAATATGAGTATCATTTGTGTACGATTGCAAAATGAGGGTATTCGAGAATTGCGTGTGGATTCTGGTCACATGATGACAANCGATGTAAAGTTAAGGGATCCCTTCCACGATCTTCATTCCATTCAAGTTCAGCACGAAGCAGGTCGACATCATACCCTGATCCCTTTCCAAATTGGTATCTCACGCGGAAGTTCTAATCGACATATTCTTCAAAGGGATTAAGCTGAGAACATATGTTTATTCCTCCCATGCAACGACGAGAGCACATCATCGTTATCGTGCGGATCCATAAACAGAATCCATTGTGCTTCACCAGTGCACTGCAGTGCTATACTCATCGAGATGGTACACGAACGCTGGCATAAATATCGGCAAAACATGCCCCATCCCTTGTCTGGAAACAACACCTTTTTCAGCTTCTGTTAGACATCGGTTAGACAATGGTTAAAGGAAGATAGCGTTCATGCAATCCATTTTTGGCCTTAGACATCGGTTAACCGATGACTTTCAAAAAACGCCGGGAAAACATCGTTCATGCAATCAGCCCTAAGTATCTTTGCTCAGGAACTTAGTCTTGGAGAGCTGCTGTATCAATCGCCCCAGGGATTCCATCTCTTGTGTGGCTGTTACCAGCCGCCTTCGAAGTTCCTCCAGCTGCTCGTCCTTCTCCTATCATAGGATGTGAAAATTGGAAATGTTAAAAAAAAATTTTTTTAAGGGAAAGTAGTGCATGAAAATAACAGCAAGAAACATACAGCAAGTGTACTTGCTAATGCATCCCATGATGTAAAACCCAGGGAATGAAGAGATATTGATGTCATTCTGTTTCCAGACTTCTGGAGCTCCTCCTGCAGCCTCAAAATCTCCTGATCTCTCTCCAGCAATATTGCCTGGTAGTTATAGGAAAAATGGCAGTATGTGGAAGAGAACTACAAGTATCAGATTCAGGGATTGCAAAAAAGGAGTTATCAGCAGGAATCATTACATTAAAAGCACATTACCTTCCATTCATCAATTCGTGCATCCATGAGATCTGCAAGTTCATTCAGCTGTGCATCTTTTCTCTTCTTCTGCTCCACCACATCTTGCAGTCTAGTCTCCAGCCCACTCTTCTCTTGTTCCAGAGATGCAATCAACCCTGAAAAAAAACCAAGATTGATAATAAAAAATTCCTACACCAGAAATGGTAATAAAAAAATTTTATGCTACTATTTTGAATTTTCTCCCATATTTATCATTAACATTACAAATTTTCATCTCCCTACCAGCAGATTCTGCACTAATATAAAAACAAAAAATGTAACATCCCTCCACCTGCAAAAAGTTTCCATCAATTATTGAAATAGTTCAGAGGTATGAAGAAACCTTTGTAATGGAACATATTATTCTTGAAATCCTGGGAAATCATACCAATGAAGGCTCATCAGCCTTCAAGGCAGTTCACTACACAAGAAGAGATTGTTGCATGGAGAATGTGTGCAAGATTACATTTATGCCTTGGCTTTGTACCAGTCTGCATCAAAGAAAGAAAATTGAGATTATAAAAAAAAAAACAGAAATGAGGTTTTCAATACATCAGGGAAAGAAAACTGAACACTCTTGATTTTAACATTTTAATTTAATTTAAAATTACAACTTCAGTAAATTTATGAGGTGAATTTGCCTCTCAAAATTATTGTTTTCATTTCCATTTCCAAAGCCTGAATTTTCATCATTATTCCAGGATTGGGTAATGGGAATAGAAATACTTCTTCCCATTTCTATTACCCACCCCTGGCTCAACACTCAGGACAGATTGCATGAATGATGTTTTCCCAGTGTCTTTATAAAATCATTGGTTAACTGATGTCTAAGGCCAAAAATGGATTGCATGAATGCTTTCTTCCTTTAATCATTGTCTAACCAATGGCTAACAGAAGCTAAAAAGGTGTCATTTCCAGAAAAGGGATGGGGCATGTTTTACCTATATTTATACCAGCACTTGTGTAATATCTTGATCAGTATAGTGAAGCAGTTTACTGGTAAAACAAAATGGATGGTCCTTATGAAGTGGCTCAATATCAGCAATGTGCTCATCGACGCATGGGACAAATAAACATCAGTTCTAGGCTTAATCCCTTGAAAGAATATGACGATGAGAACTTCTGCATGAGATACTGATTTTAAAAGACTTCAGTGAATAATCTCATTGATCTGCTTCACCCTGGACTAAATGGAACAAAAATCACAAAAGGGACCCCTTAACTTTACATCAACTGATAAGAGCAATTATGGTTCACATGCAATGAATCATGATTTATTCATGCACTCACTCCGAGTAATTAATTAATATGACCCAAAAGTGAAAAGAATATAATGAAAGCCTTTCCATTCACAGGTTCTGCTGACCCTTTGATTTTAAGTGATGTAGATTCATAGATTTGATGTTTCTACTGCCTGCAGAGTTGTCAATTGAGTGGTGCAGGTCATTGCTCATTTGCATTCCCAAGTCATTACATTTGCAGGAGGAAGAAATGGACTAGATGTTCATAGACAATCCTTTGATATTGCTGGATTTCCAGGAGTGATCAGTGCCATTGATGACTACCATATTCAAATAGAATGCCCAACCAACTTTTATCAACTGCAAATGCTTCTATTCCACCAATGCCCAAGCAGTGTGTGATAAAAAAAAAGGGATTTTTACTGATGTTTTCACTAGATGACCAGGATATGCACCCAATTCTTGATATCCTAATTATACACTCACAAATAATACACATATTTTTCACATTTTCAAATTCTCTGTGTGCAGAACAAATCCTTGGCATTACCCGATAGAGCACGTTTAACCCTTATCCGGGCAAGGGGAGTCCATTGGACTCCCCAGGGTATATTTCATTTCATTACTCTCTGCAAATTTTTCCAAATATTCTTCTAATTTGATATGGGTTTCATAGACAGTCATCCATAGATTCAGAAACGAACTTTTAAAGTTTGGATTTGCTTTTAAGAAAAAAAATTCTAAAAATGTTTGGCCTTGCCCGTTTGTGTCCCAAAAATACCTTGCCTGGATAGGGGTTAAATACAGAGTAGGGTTAGTGAGAACATGTCACTAGGCATGGTTATTCTTGTGCAAGGAGAGTGCATCATGTCTCTCTCTATCATTAGATTCTCCTTTAAAAGCTCTGCAAGATGTAATTTATTGCCAGAGGAGAAGTTATTTTTCACTCAATCAGCCATTTTTTGCAGAGTCCAAAGCATATCATGTGACAGCCGAGAAAGCAAAACATGCTAAACTTACATGAGGGATGCTTAGCTGTTGTCAAGCCATTGGCTACAAAAACATGGATTAGGGATCAATCTTGCAATCAAAAGTAGACAGCAGTTATCCAATATTTTAATAGGTAATTTTTAACCAATGACTATCAAAAAACAAAGTCTAAAATGAACATCATTCATGCAATCAGACCTCACATTATCTGTGACTATGATACCTTGGCTTTCAGTGAGAGCATCCTTGAGATGAGTGAATTCAGAACTGGTTTCTTCCATCTGCTGTGTGGCTTCAATAAGTTTCCCACGAAGGTCCTGAACCTGAGCTTGGGACTCTGTAGCTGCTGCTTCCTTTGCCTATGCCAGTAGCATAAATAATACCAGTTCAGGACAAGTGGACTAAAACTCCAGTGAAAATAAGGTAGAATTATATCAACACCTCCAATTCCTTAAGCAGTTGTGAAATCTGTTCATTCTTTTCCTGGATAGCAGAGGTTACTTGATAATCTCTTGCTGCAATATCCTCCGGCTCATTTTCTCCCAAAGCTCGCTGATATTCTTCTAGTTCTTCCTTAAGCAACCCCAGATCCCGCTTCAGATCCAGCAACTCACCCTCAGCTTCATCAGCTCTATGCAGATTCTTAACAGGTAATAGACACAATTGACAAAGTGTTATGCAATAGAATCCTGAGAGGTCAATGGTTCTAATATGCTTGCTCTTCTAAGAATTAGATATGCACATTCTCAGCTCTGCGCTGCTCCTCAGCAAGTTGCCTCTGTGCATTCCTCAGCTTCTCTTCTGTTGCTTCCAGTTGTCTTTCTGTGGACAACAGCTCCTGCCTCAGGAACTGCTCACGCCCACTTCCTCCTTCCACTGTGATACGAAGAATCATTTTTTGAGTCAAGTACAGCTTTGAAGAATGCTCAACAATTGTGAACTACATTGTGCCGATCTAAATATTAACTTCACTGTAATCTCTGAGGTGTGTTAGGATGACAATTAATAAAATTAAGTGGGCATATTTCTTAAACATACTCATTGTTTTCAACTGAATATGGACCAGAAGGTGGGAAATTCTATAAAAGTTTTTCACATAGACTTTATTCCATGTATCTCTCAAAAGCTAGTGGTACCTTTCACCTTCACAGAGCATGTATCTTAAGCAAATGCAAAAAAAATACAATTGTAGAATTTAAACCATAATATAAAAATTTTCTGCATTCTATTTTAGCTTCAGCAGAGTGAGCTTCACATTCCATGTTATTAATATCCTTTGAGATTCCTATGTCACAGAAACCAACTAGGAATTTTAATCCTCTTTGTTTCTCATCCATATAATTTTTTTCTCTAACTCCTCTGTTTTCTTTTGCTATGAGGTAATTTTGAAACAGAGTTGGAAAAGGAAATGGCTCTAACCTGATGAAGCTTCACATAGGTTCAAGCGTAACATAGCATGGAAGGAGGCTTATAAAATGAAGCAAGCATGTGCTGGTGATATCCTTCATACAAATAATTTCCAATTGAGATGAAGTTTCTCCAAATTGTTTGCAACCAAGAACAAAAAAAAGACTGCTAAACTTCTGGAATTGTAAGACCACTAAATAGTAGTTAGCCTATTTATGAATCATATGTCCTTGCCAGGGAAAAACGCCAAGCACATTTGTGACACCAGCAATAAAAAATAACCTGATTTTGGTTTCATTTTCTTCCTCTTGGAGGATTAAGGATGTTAGGGCTACCTTATCGGGTAAAAATGAAAGTCCATGAGGAGAAAGGCAACAGACAAATAAGACCTAGCCTACATCCAAAAAGCCAGTCATTTCAGAGGTTTCACTGAAGAAATCTATTACAAAGAAAATAAGTTTTGAAGCATTTATGAATATATCTTGCCATGTTCCAAATACCTCACCATCTCACAATTACCCTTAGGTGCTTCAAAATCCCACTCATCTCCATATCAGCTCTGAATAACCTTGAATTAATTTATGAATTTCATATTTACCCAAAACATTTTGAAAATTCTCCCATAATAAGGGTTATTGTGAAACATACTCTGAGGCTCACTTTACATTTATTTTTAAGTGCATATGCTGAGGTGTCTTGTGATATGCAGTGGTAGTTTGTCAGGGGAGACAAGAACAGATAGGCCTATGCCTTATGTTTACTGACCAGGAGAAGTGATGCTTATTTGACGATGCAGTTGTTTCACCTGTTGCAATAGTTGATTCCCATTCCCTTCATTTCCTTCAGTCAGCTTCTCCAGTTCTTCCATTGCTACATCAGCCTGCAACAGTTAGAAGAATAACAGGAAATCAGCCACTAAAAAGAAGCATAACGTTATACACAATAGATACAGAAGCAGGCTCGAGTACCAGATCCTGGACCAGGACTACGCTGATTTCAAGCCTCAATTCCCTAGTGTTTGTGCGGATTTATTGTTCTTCATTCGCGTAGATGGTAGAATAGCCTACCTGGGAAGCCTTGGTCATCATGACGTATCTGGTGAGGTTGAAGAGGTAGATGAGTTTGTTATGATCTCTTTCCTCCCCTGGATCGAAATCAGCTAGAAGTGGACAGACAGAGTCTACTTCTTCCTCGTTCAACTCCTTAACTGCCAGCTCCTGAATCCTATCCCAACTCAAATCTCCGCCCATTTCTCAAAAATCAAAAAAAGGTCGAGTCTGCTAACGCTCCTCCCCAAAGGAGAGTCACACACCACCTGGATGCATTGAACTGTGCGGGGAGGCAAAAGGATCTGGTATGATTGCTCATGCGCATTAGCCGGACATGTGCCAGTCACAACACAGTCGTCATGGCAACCACGCTGGAGCCACGTGCCTCGCTACCAATATCGATTAAAAGAGGCCCTCTGGGCACTGCAGTTACTGGAATTGTTTTATCAATAATTCTTCCATCCTGACAAATTGGAAGAAATGAGGAAGATTCCCTATAGAGAAATTAAGATGTTAAAAGTTGATAGTGGAACTCCTCTCCTGAAAGGAGAGACCACTTATCCTGTCCGTCTGTGTGAGTGAGTTTCCACACTTTGGTTGTCCGACAATAACTAAGAAAATATTGGCCTGGATCACTGCGAAAATTGGCAAGATACAGGCTGAGTTCGTTTTGTGGCGAATTTGTACCTAAAATGTCATTTTCATTGTGAATTTTAGTTTTGAAATTTGACCATGGCGGGGAATGCATGAGTACCCGTGAGCCCTTAAGGATCTGAGCCACAATATGCATGCGCGTACGACCCAGGTCTTCGGCAGGGTGCCGCGTATGCAACCAGAGTTGTCAGTTCCCTACCAGCCTTTGTGGCGGATGGATCCGATCTAGGCAAGCGGAGCGGGAGGCAGACAGACAAGGTTCCCAGCAAACAATTTGAAACACATAACGTTGAATCAACATTGAATAAAGGTTTAGAAAGTCGATACAACGTTGGTCCAACGTACTCGTGTTTGCTGGGTTGTTATCCGACCTCGTGTCGACAGTACTACACGTTGTACTCTCCTTTCATCTTCTGACCTCTACCTATTTGGCACACAGTCTTCCTGTGCATCATAGTCATTGCAAGAAGACGACCCACTACACGACTGAGCTTGTCCAACGAGTAAGGAATGCACGAGAGCATAAAGCGTTAAAGGGGGCGTTTCAAAAGGCATGAGCTTTTCTCTTGGCAGTTTAGTAGTAGGAACAGGCTGTGTTATGCTTAGTGCCTTTTCTCCTTTACCTAAGGTCTAGGGAATTGTGAAGCTTACTCTTGAGAAAATCATATAAAATATACAGTATAATGTTGGATTCATGTCTTCAAAAACGCCTCTGATTGAATTACAAAATTTAGCGCTTGCAGTAGTGTCAAATGCTGACATTTGCATTTCGTAATTCAGTATCGAGTGGTCCTCCCTTCCTCGCCTCGGACTATTCTATTAATTAATTGTTTAGGATATTTTGATTATATCGTATATAAAGTGCAAAATTCCTTGATGTGCATTAATTGATTGCAAGAAAATTTATTTACATTATTTGACTGGAAGGAGCAATGAACTATTAGATTACTTGAGCGAACGGGCAGCTTGCTTCGAATTTCGAATTTTATCGGCAAATGTTATGAGAACTGTTATTTGTGTTTACCAAATCTAACATATATTTTTTATGGTGGAGGACCGAAAAGAGATAGCATTTTGTTCAATTAAGTGACAAAATGAAGGTCCTCTTAACTGAAAGGAGACCCGCAACTGGACTGGGCTTACCCAGCTTGTTTTACATGTCTCATCAATGGTTTAACTTATTGCAAAGCGTAACATGGGCATGTTGACCAAGGCATTTGGATCATGGGTTCTCTAAGGAGTATCCTCAGATTTTCTCACGGCACCACTTCGACTGTCTCTTCCTCTACCTTCAGCATCATTACATTACCGCAATTGGGATATTTGAAGGTAGCATCGATGAAAACGACTCTATTCACGGGAGAATGCAGGAAGAATTGGACATCGACTGGAACGCAATTCCGTCCTCTTCGTGCTTCACTGTAACAAGACGTTCGAGGGTGGGGAGGGGAACATCACTTTCCCTTTGGGAGAGATATCTGACCGTGATTTAGTTCGGCTTTCTACCAGCTAGGCCTTATTCTGATGTTGCAAACTAGTAGCACGCAGTGACTGGTCCAAAGATCCAAAACGTTCTTGCACAGACCTTACGCTTTAGATAATGTCCCCTTCGAAATCGTAGATTCGGTTAATATATTAACCGAATGCCGCACCCTGTATACAGGGTGCGGCATAAGTCGCTTTACCGAGAATAATTATTTGTATATTTGGCTGCACTGATTTTAATACGCTGTAGAAACGGAATTTTTACTAAACCGCAAGCTAGTCAACTCACTACTGCACCCAGCGTATTAAAATCAGTGTTGACAAATATATAAATAACTACTCTCGGTAAAGCGATTTATGCCGCACCCTGTATATGTCATCAACGACGCGAGCCTTGATTGAAATTTGGGAGAACGCGTAAATGTCAGTGTCATAAAGCTAGTAGTTTTAGGTCTGCAACGGCGATACGCAAGCAAGACCTCTCCAGAGACCAAGGGGCCCACATACGTTTCTCTTGTGAGACCCATAACGGAACGTACATCTGGAACTTAGAACCCATATGGAATTGAGGTCATGACATGGCTCGAAAATGTAGAGAAATGAGCCGCACGCGGCGTCTCTATTGGCTACATTTTGACGACCTGACGGACGACCTGATTCACGAGTAACGACCCAAGGATGAAGACACAATACGAGTAGGATCTAGGAGTCAGAATGATTGGTTTTACCGTACGAGCTAATACCGGGTGAAACATGAGAAGCACAAGGCCCTTTGAAATTTTTGCCGTTTATGAACCAGCAGGTAACACTACCGAGTAAGGTATGTGGTGCCTTGAGATCTCCGAAATTATATCCGAAAAGGGTGAAATCGCCTCTTGATATCACTATTTCGAATCTTGAATCTTGAATCTCTATCGGGGCCGGATTAAGGGGGGGGGGGGGGCAAAGGGGGCAGTTGCCCCGGGCCCCACTCTTCCAGGGGCCCCCCGAAGGAAATTAAAACCGTTAAGTATTGTATTTTTGCGTAAAGTAGCGGGGGGGAACCCCAGGAATTCACTTGCCCCAACTTCTTAATCCGGCCCTGACCTTTATCCATCCTCTACGCATCCTAAAATTTTCGCTCATTTTTAAGGCCATTTAACCACTCGAGCACTTCTATAAAAGCTAGTCAAATTTTATTTTCTCCGCTCACACTGACAGGGACAGGGCCAGCCCCACTAGCCATTCTCTTCCTGTTTTTTTTTTTCCTTCTGCATTTCGAAATCTGCCGGACGGATTTCTGACCGAACTCAGTACATCCGGAAATTCGAAGCTTGGGTTTTTGCGTTCTTGGATCATCCATCGAGTCATCTCGAGAAACGACAGCTTCCAAATAGTTTTCCTCAGTTAAATCTAATTTAAAAAAAAAAGAAAAAAGAAGGAAATTGGGTATAAAGACTCCGAATAACAGGAACGAAGGGGAAGTTCGGGGTAAGGGGGTGAGGGGATCTGGATGAAGGTTCGAGAAAAGGTTTCCCTTTCCCGGAACTTCCTCGCGGGCGGCATAGAAGCAATCCATTAGCCACACTTTCGCCACCAGTTTTAGCAAAGTCAATCCATTGCAACACTCACGGATACACTACCCTGTGATCGTAACCCGGGCATACCTTTTCTCCACCCATGAGAAGATCTACGTATAAGCTGTTTGCAGGAATAGTTCATCAGATATACAGTGAACCCTCGATATAACGCCATTGTTGGTTGTCGCCGATTTTGGCCCCGTAACGAGGGTGACGCTATATCGAATGCTAGTGACTACGACACCAAAATCTGGAGGACAAATTGACCGGAAGATGTGAAGTTTATATTGGCACCTCCCTAGTAGCACATAACATTGAAACAACATGGATTCAATGTTATCTGCTACTAAGGCTATAGACCCCTCCGATACTCTGCGTTTTCTGTGCACTATCGATTCCACAGGTATGAGTCACCTCTCGCAGTCTCGCTGTTAGGTGATCGGGTGGACAGTCTGCAACATACATTTAGCTGTGTTCAGCACTGGATCAGGGTTGTGGCAGGTATGCTACTTGGCGCAAAATCGAGGAAGATTCACATGGGAAAAAAGGACATTTGTATAAGTACTGGTGTTGACGGATGGCGGTTTCTGAGGGGGTGCTATAAGGATGGTTGAGCCTATCAAAAGCTCATGAGGGAAATTTTTTCTCAGGAAATAGTTACTCATCAGCGATGAGCGAGGATGGCGGTATACCGAATGGCGGTATGTCGAAGGTCCACTGTATTGTCATCGAAACCTTCCGGAAGAATCACCAACCTGAAATTTAACATAAAGTTCTACCCTGTCGTATGATACTACGGTTGTCCTAGGAGTTGTCGGAGCTGGATGTCCTTTTTGATACCTGATGTCAGAATTTGAAAAGCGTAGTCGAATAGTTGAGGAGTCAGAGAGCGACAGTCACTTATCCTCACCCTAAGCTCGAACTTGAAGTCTTCATGCCATCCCCCTTCTCACCTTCTTATTTTGCTTTTGGTGGTCAGGTCAAGCGTATTTCGGAAGTATTCTCTTTAGTACTCCATAACTATTTTCCCTTCTGCCCATGCCCTGCTTTCAGGGGAAATATTTACACACGGCCCCGTAATTATATTATGAGCTAATTGGACCCTCTCTGATTCCCCCACCACTGACCCCTTTTTCATTTAATCACAAAATACGTGTATATATTTATTGGGACCGGAGAAAGTTCCACTGTCGTGAAAATAAAAGGTTGAGGCCAATTGTATACTAATTTATAGTCAGTATGCAGTTGGTAGACTGCCAAAGGCCCAAAGGGTAATGACGTCCATCTCGTAAGCGACGAAGATAAATGAGAGCAACGCCAGTGGCCAAGGGAAGTGTCATGTTTGCCTCTTCGTGCCCCTGTCCTCATCCTGGTTCCCTGAGCCTTCCGATACGATATTTTGCTCAGTCTGCGATTCTGAAGGCGCTCCACGAAAAGATGAACGGCCTGACGCTTCTAGGTTCGAATGAAAATATGAAAAATACTCAAAATGCGGAACACGTTTTGCGTCCATAAAGTCCACGTAGATGCAAGAATAATTGATTCGGCATCGCAGTGCAGTACAAACACTACTGGGCGAACCAGAGATAATGACACACTATAAAACACTATAACTATGTAACGGTTTCGTGCATTTTCATCAAACAACGTGGGTTCCGTAGCCAACTGGCACACAAAAATGACGGAAAAGCAGCATCAAAATGAATAAGTCCAGACAAGGGCAGCACTTCGTCTTCCCATGCTCTCCATTTCATGATCCACCTGCGCACCATCGACATGCAAACACGCTCGAAGACGGTCTGACGCCTGTCTGCATGTTTTTCGGTTCATCTCTACTAGTGTGACGAATTCCTGCATGGTCACGTCCAATAGCCGATTGAGGACACGGATACGGTGAGAATAAACCTTGTCATTAAGTTACTTCGGAAGGAAATCTGATAGTGTTTGGTTTATCGACCGTTTCAGCAACGCGAAGCCACATTTTCCCAGGTGTGTCCTGCTTTAGGCCTACCTGAGTGTTTACTGTCCGACACAATTCCTGTTTCGTGAAACTTTTTTCAGACTCACGTAGGCTCTGGCTCCAGAAATTCCTGTCGCATTCTGCGTTGTAACTCTGTAATATTGTCTTTTGGATAAAATAATCTGACGCATCAATTTATTTTCTCTAGAGGTACTACTCCCCTGCACTCTCCCGCTATGTTGATTTATGTATGAGCTGATGAATATGGCTACCTAAAACGCTTTCTCAGAAGTTAAAGTGCTTTGAACTGTGTCATTACTTATGGCTCACCTTGCATAACGGAGGCACGAGACTGTATCACGCTTCCTCTTCCTTTCATGGCTTAATTAGATGGAGTTTCTTCCTTTCTTGCTCTCCTTTCCCTCCTTTCCTCTCGACTAGGCACTTTCGCCGTCTGATATGATGTATTGGATTGTCGTTGCCCAGCAATGCGTTGCCCAAGTGACCAAGGTGAAGCCTGAGAGTCCACCAACAATTCAGTAAAAAAAAAAAAAAAATAGTCCTGCGACTCGAGAAAACGTTGAAATGGTTATCTCTGCTTTACGTAATTGATCATCTCCAATCCATCACGAGTCTAATTGGAGAACTAATCTATCATCAGGCGTGTACTTCGTGTACAAGCGTTCCCTCCTGGTTATGGGAGATGGAATGGATGAACCATCTCTGCCTCAAGGTATCTTTTGAAAGAAGGTATCTTAGAAGGTATCTGGGATAGAGGTTAGAAGGCTGCAACATTACGGAAGGAGCGAGAAGTATGAGGTCATGATCTCTGAGACTCCCCGAGCCCAAGTGGACCAGCTCACGCCACACATTGGATTTTCCCTTTATTCCCATTTATATTTATGCGGTACTTAAAATAAAATTACATAAACGCCTCATCTATTTCATGAATCCGCACCACATTTTGCAATATGATTCATGAGTATGTCCACTATCCATCGAGTACATGTTCAGATTGACAGCATCTTTCTTGAGGTAGGACTTAACTAAGGGCGTAAAGGCTTCTCGCCAGTGGCCCCCCCCCCTTACTCCCATCCTTTCTACCCTGGGGTTGTTAAACATAGCCCAGCAAAAGCTAATACAGTGAAAACTCGTTAACTCGAATTTTTAGGGACCGGGCAAATCGTTTCGAGTTATCCGAAGTTCGAATTATCAGGAATCGCCCCCCCCCCCCAAAAAAAAAAAAAAAAGAGAGCGATGGATTGACAGAGCGAATGTTGGAGGCTTTTTTTATAGCCGAAGCTTTTTGGTTTTAATTCTCAGGTTTAATCCTCTCCACAGGCGTCTGTGTGGGAGGAGGGAGAAGCAGAAAAAAAAAGAAACAAAAGAGCATCCTCCCGAAAGGGTTTCTTGTCATTCATTCTATCAAAAACCGAAAAGTCTCACGAGAATAATTTTTCCCCCCTTCTCACCCTGAATTCGAGTTAATCGTGAGAAAATCGTTATGGGGAGTGAAAATTTCATTCGAGATATCCGGAAATTCGAGATAAGCGAATTCGAGTTAAACGGAGCTTTTAACATGGTGTCCTACGGGGTTCCGCCGGGACCAAGCATTGAACTTCGAGATAAGCAGAATTTCGACTTATCAGGATTCGAGTTAACGAGTTTTCACTGTACTTTTTACTGACAGTCACTTTTCCCCCTCCGGTGTGTTACACGAAGTGCTTGATTTTCTTCTTTCTCTCCCTTGTTTGGAGGACCGAGTTGTCACGGAGAAGAAGTAGGTTCAGTTCAGTGGAGGATTTTTCGCTTCCCTGGAGAAGGGTTTCTTTCCCTCTCTCTTTCATATAAATCACAGAGGGAGTCTGGATTAGGAATGAGAGGGGAGGGGGGGGGGTAAGAGAAAGATAGTGAAAGGTAGAATGTGACAGTATTGGAGTTTTCTCTTCATTGATGGCCTCGTTAACCGGTCAAGCGAAGAGAAAGAGAGAGAGAGAGAGGACTATCCGTTCGTTCTTCCTTTTACATCACTGAAAACGATTCATGGGATCATCTTTCAGTTTCCATTTCCCTTCTCGACCCCACCTCAAGCCAAATAAAGACAAGTCGGACAAAGACCAGCCCAGTAGCGGGTTTCCTTTGGATGAACTGGTATCATCATGCAGGCCAATTAATATGGAATGTAAGGCAATCGCGTAAGACCGGTTGAGATCCAAGAGAATTCTTTCACATGTCGAACACGCGCGAGGTGGAAAAGGCGACGCTGCATCCCGATGAAAGTGACAAATTAGGTTCTGCGAGATACCCGAGACACTTCGCCAGCAATGCAACATAAGCGATGTTTTCTTTGCATGGTGGCCCAAATGACACAAGAAGGGAACGATGCGATTGCCCCTTCCCGCCACGTGTACACCCCTTTCTGTCCCCATCGTCCTCAACCACACGAAATCCAGATGGGAGCTTTCCTTTCGCCTCGGTTGGTGAAGTTCACACGGAGAGTCGTGGACTTTTTCCAAGCCGTCACCCGATGAATCCTTCGACTCTTCAGCCATTTTCCTTCAAGTCACACCTCATCGCTCGCGTTTCCCAAGGATGTCTCTTCAGTCTGCGGAGACCGGGATCGGAGACGTGCCTCCGATAACGTTGCAGAAAGTTATCGGAGTTTACGAGCCGGCCTCGAAGGGAAAGGATGAGCATAAAAGGATGGCTTGTAAGCTATCAGCTTATTCCGTGGTTCACACAAAGGAAGACTCTTCGCCTCTTCTCAATATCTTATTAGATTTCATGAATTTAACGGATTAAATTAGCTGTCAAGTAAGTTGCTAGTTGCACTAACTAGTGACAACAACTTGAAGTCTGAAGCAGTAGTATTCCCGAAAAGTTTATGAAGCTTTGCGCTCACACTCACACGCGCACACACAGATATCCACCGGGCAATTGCATTAATGAACCCGATGGCTCGCTAAAAAAAAAATGAAAGGCACTACGCATGGGGGGAGGCTTGCCACATAAGTGATTTTTAGGGTCGAACGGGAAGAAGTTCTTTCTCATGGGAGGAACCTGGGGGGGAATCTGTGAAAGGGGGTCCGTGTGTCTGTGTCTCCCTAGTCCTATTTCTCATTCACTCCTTTAGTGACGACTGTCTCCTTTTTCTTCTTCGTCTTCATTTCTCCTTTCCCTTTACCCCAGACTGGTTTCGTGGTTCACCGCGAAACGTGTCTCCCACGACTTTTCCCTTGCGCTCACCCCGGTCCAATAAAATCATCTGTTCCAGGCGGGAATAAGAAAACAAAAAGGATATTTTTCGTTTCCTTTCTTTTCTTTTCCATCATGTATGAACGTATACACTGCACTGCCATTCGCTCCACACTCAAAGAGAACCCTTGCTCATAGAAAATTACGACAAGGGGATGATAGTGAAAGACATCCGGGTGTCTACATCCATCATCACATCGCACTCGTATAACTCAGTCATAAATCAGTTACTCGAGGAATCAATGAGGTTTTTCTCGGGGATATTTGCCGAAGTCCCCCTCGGCTGCGAAACCTTTGTGGGGATCGGCAGAATAATTGACGACTTGGAGCTTGCCGAGAGTGTCGTAGTAACCGTAGCGACCTCGAACGTAACCGTAGTTGTCCCTCTCCTCGTACCGGAACTGTCTTCCGTACCTACAGGAAGTATCACGATTGTAGCATTCTCCCTCACATCGTTCCATAAACTAAAGTGACTAACCAAATAATTAGTACAAGAAATGAAAATGAGGGAGAATTTTTGAAATCCTTAGACAATACTTATCGTGACACCCGAGAGATGAGTGGCCATATGCAGAAACAGGAGTCGATGGGGAGACAGACCCTTTGCCGGTGTCGTATCCGAATCGATAGGAGTGAGGGCCGTCTTGTCCGTGGATCTGGAAGGTCGTGCGAGTGTCTTCAGGCGAGGAATAGGGACGATATCCCTTGTCGAATTGACGAGCAGAGGGGACGTCGTCGGACGTCGAAGCGGAGACGGCCGCGTCCGCGTCTCGTTTCTGATTCCTCCGGCTCCCCTCGTATTCGCCGGCAGGGACAAACTCGTACGACGTCTTCCCCGGCACGTAGACGTAATGATCGCTCTTCACGTTGTTGTACTTCTCTTCCTCCTTCTTGATCTTCTCGATCACCTGGGGTAAAGGGGATTGCAAGAGAAGGATAGTTCAAGACTACTTCCCAGGTTCATCTACCAGTGCCATCATCGTCACCTCATCGTCATCGACACCATGCCATTCCGCAAAATTCAGGGTCGAGAGAATATTATTTGCTTGGTCTTTGCCACTTGGTTCGAATAACAGTACTCGACAGGCGCAATAGACTACTGCAGTAAATTTCAAATGCTCATATGCGTACCAGTAATGGTACTTCTGGCTTTTGTCATTGGCAAGCGTCAAGTTAAAAATAAATTGTAAACACCAATAAGGGAAAAAATCTAGTTCTGTAGAATGGCCTAGGATTTTTTTTTTACAGTTTCACGACGTTCCAGCATACAGACGCTCGATCTTTTCAAACTGCCCCTTAAATTATTGCTTCTGGTACAGTCGAGGTCTTGGAGTGATAATCTGGTACAGTTGACTGAAAAGTCTGAAAACCACTGGGCTACTGAGCTGGAAAGGCTGGAAACCACTAAATTACTGAACCGACCTGGAGTTCGGCGAGCTTCTCGGCCTGCTGTTCGACCAACGCCTCGAGTCTCTTCTGTTCGTGCGGAGAGACCCCAGGGACTGTTTCGTGTCCTGTAGGTCGCCGCCGGAATCCCGGCACCGGAGGCTGACGGCGCCGGTAAGTCGAGGCTTCAGGAGCAGGTGTGAGAGGCCGGGAAGGTGGAGGGGGAGGGGGAGGACGGGGACGCGGCCGAGATTGGGGACGAGTTGCTGGAGGCTGTGGTCGCTGAGGCCTGGGTCGCGCCAGGGGGCCTCGGTGAACTTCTTGCTCCTCTGGCCCCGGCCGATGTAGGTTGTAGTGGCGGAGGGGCTTGAATCCTCCCTCCAGTCGCGGGGGACTGCGAAACCCACTTTCTCGCCCTAAAAAACGCAAATACGAATGAGCTTGCATGAAGACATTGGAAGAGGAGATGCAGAAGGAGCGAGTGCAAGTGGAGGCTTGGGTGAGGCGTTCGTACGAGGAGGATTGAAGAAGGTTTCGGAGTCGTCGTCGTCGTACTCCTCATCATTCGGTTCGGGGAATCGCGAGCGATGGGATTCTTCACGTGACCGAGGTTTCTCCTCGCCGTCAAAATTCGCGTCTACGCCTTCGTTGAAATCCAGTCCATCGAACAGGTCATGTTGCCGAACCGGTCGGGGACGAGGTCTTTCTTTCGCTCGTGTCCTCGTCCTTGCCCTTGACCTCGAAGGGTTGGATTCCTCTCGCCCTCTCCCTTGACCCTCTACCCACGTGATGACCAGTAGTAAGATCAGGAATCCCTGTCAGGCGAAGTGAAACAAGATGGACTCAAGTGAGGGATCTATTTCGATCTGAAGGGTGAAAACGTCTCTGAGCCGCTTTTTCCCGACCCTATTCACGCAGCTTCACCACAAGAATTTCACTACTCCGTGCAATGTGTCATCTCTTGCCAAGTGGAGACGATATCGACTTACGTGACTATGCGAGATCGTTAATTTCAGGAATGATTGGCAATAATTATAATGGTGATCCTTCGTGAAAAGGAACACGGACTTTCTCGTGTGTCCTTATGAGACTTTTCCTTTCGTCGTCTATAGACCGTGACAGGCTCTCTACCTCGAGATCTCTATTGTATGTAATGCCTCTCCTTTTTTCATTGATAGACAAAAAGTATAGGCCCCCTGTCCTGCTCGCATCAGACTCGATCAGAGTGGGTTTCATTTCGACGCGATGAATACGCTTTTTACTCCTTCGGTACTGAATTCGTCGAGACCTTACAGTAGGAACGTCAAAATGGTGACATGGGGGCCGGATACGGTCAGCTAGTCCATTTTGTCCGGCTCGTGAAGTCTTCTTCAAAAGTTGGTTACGGAAAAGTACTGCAAATTTCAGTCTGTTTGCATTAAAGATTAGGTGTTAAATTTTTTTCGTGGCCCCTAATCACCCCTGAAGGCTTCCATCCGGCCTCCGGCCTAATCGACATTGACACCCCTGCCTTACACCAACAAGCACAGAAGTACTCACAATTTTAGTAGTCCAATGACGCTGCACCTCTCCGTTAACAATTGCTGAGAGACTCTTTCAATTCCTGTTGTGTTCTTTTAGCCATGAGCTTGACCATTAAAGATACCAAATGAGTACTGGCATGGAGAAGTTCAATCAAAGGCGTTCAGACTCAATTGAAACTATTGGCATAAGTTATCAGTAAGATGCAGTCCTAGGCCCTCTTTTTACGTATTCCTCAATGACTCCCTTTTTTCCAGTTACGATATGCAAGGTAAACTCCAAGGGAAAGAGGTTTCCATAATGGAAAAACGTTGAACGTCTTTGGAGGGAAACTTTAAATTTACAAAAGGTTTATTTCGAGTGAGGATGAATAAAATCATATGTGAAGATTACAGTCAGAAGATTATTAAAAAGCAGTAACCTAGAGCTGACTACGTTTTGAGGCATCATAGCGCGAGGAATGGGCCCCTATAGGTATTGTAGTGATGAACCTGAGGCCTACTTGGCTAAAAAAAAAAAAAACATGACTTGACCTTGAAAAATGGAATCCACTTCTCCACGGTGGTGGTACCTAATGTCACAGGGAAAGGATTTATGGAATGAAATTCTGTACTTAAATATATACAGGGCAAAACGATGATTGCAGGGAGGTTGTGCAGGTGCTCTAGTTGAAGTACTTCTACAGGGGTTATGATTATAATCCATTCTCAAATAAAAGCAGCTTCTTTTTTGGGGGCAGAATTAGAGCCGCCCATAGGAACATATGGCATGTCGGAGATTCGTGACAGATATGGCGGGCTTGCCACTTGCGAAGAACGGGACTTTGAAACAGAGCGGCAAGAAAGTACTCAATTTTACACGCTAGACGTCTTGGGAGCGTCTCTCGAAGTTGAAGGGCGAATCAAGGCGGAAAATCCGGTGAAAGTTTCCCGTGATTCTGATCGCCAGTCTCACCATGCCCGACTCGTTCCCTGCCGATCATAGACTTTCTGCTCATTAGCTGGGTCCATCGTTGATTGCGCATGCAGTGATGCCGAAAGTCCCCAATCTTTTCCTTCCATTCATTCTCAATTTTTTTTTTTTAACGGGTACCTCCGATGGAAGGGCATCCTGCTGTGGGGATTGGGAAGTGAACACAGAGAAAGAATGGTCATGCCTGCTCGACCCTGCATTTCTCTTTTATGCATTATGTATTTTCGTGGATGAAAAAAGGTAGACGTGATCGGGGAGTTCACGGTTGGACGCGTCTACACTCACGTAATCTTTCCGCATTTTCTTCACAAATCCAAACAATCAATTCCGCAAAGATTACGTCGATGTTCATCCTCCGTGCGTAAAAACCGAAAACAGCACAAAGGCTCAAATTCTGAAAACCATCTTGCCAGTAAATATTTTTTCTTCCGATGCCAAAAAATTCACGACTTGGAAAATAAAGAGTGGGGGATTCCGAATTACGGACCGGACGAGACGAAATGTTCTTGCGGCGCGTATTTCATGCCCTTGGGAATAATTGCCAGAGAAGAAGTCGGCGGGAGAAGATCCCTTCTCACCGCAACTGAATTCAGGAAACCCCAAGACGAAATTTATTCTCCATCCCCTTCGGCATCACACATTCGTGAAAAAATATATCAGAAGGCTGGACGTTGTTGGAGGAAATAGTGGTGTTTAATTGAGCTCGTTTTGTACACCTTTGCCTTCTTCGGAGATGACATAAATGTGGAAATATTTGGATACCGACTTATCCAATGATTGAAGGAAATCTGAGCACTCAATCCTTGTCTGGGAATTCCAGAAAATCATATAATTACGAACGGCTAAGATGGAAACGGAGTTCTCCTTCTCCCGGCAGCATGCTGAAATTACCTGGACTCCAAGACCAGATAAAGTGGTTCTGGGAAAGGTTTCTATTCAGAGAATTTAAATTGTAATGCCATCACACCATTAGCTTATATAATGAATGGGGCTTTCAAGAGTCCTTTTCCAATTCCGCGAAGAATCAGAGAAAGGCTCTCCCATTGATTTTTTTTTTAGTTCTCGGCCGCACAATGAGTCTCTGGAGAGATATAATCGACAAAAAAGGAGAATAAAATGAGTATGCATGAATTATATCGGGACTTGGAATCATGGTCCTTCTTAACGGCGATCGTGAAATCTCACGCTCATGAGAGGTCTTCCGGAACGATGATTTCAGGATCTCCTTCTCCAGGATTACGTCATCAGAAGTGATTCGGTCTCGCCAAGACTTGGAGATGACAGAAGGCCCCCCCCCCAAAAAAAGGTACTCGTATGGCTGTCGAAAGTGGAATGAGGAAGAAAAGGGAATGAGGGAATCCCTCTTCCAGCACATGACCCGAGTAATAGAGCAATTTACTAAAAGGGACCACTTTTCCTCTCTTCCACTTACTCATTCTCCATTGCACTTTTTCCTTTTGTTTTTTCCCCCCCATCATCCTTCGCAAGCAAGAACTTGACACAAAATCTTTGGAATCCCTGAACTGGACATAAAAAAAAGAGGTCTGTCCACGAAGGAGGTCAATTTGGCCTTCTTAATTGTCTTCTAGTGTATATCCACGTGACTAAATGAAGAATTGAGCAATTGATCGATACTTTTTGCGCGGATGGAGGGCAAGGGGCTGGAATTTGGAGCAGACCATCATACGGTTTTGAGTATATAGAGGGAAGGAGAAGGTAAAAAGTAGGACTCATCACAGATGTGTCCAAGCAATTTATATATGAATCCATCTACCTTCAGCATCTGCGCCTACCTATAACGCCATTCGAGTGGAACCATCCATCCTTCATGTGCACGTGATATTACTCCGTCCTGATTACTGAGAGAGGTTATAAAGAAAAAAATCCTTCCGAACAAATATCTTCACAGAAAAAAAAGGCCCAAAAATAAAAAAAGGAAATCATTCCTAAGTAATATCTGGTCCCACTGGCATGGACAGGATATTTGGAAGGGGGGTGATCAATATTTAAGGCAGTTGAATGACCAGCAGGGGATTTCTAGGGGGGCAAGGAGGCGCTCCAGCCTCTCAGCATACGCCACTGTCTGACCCTATCAGTTATTGGTGCTACCATCTTTGGCACTAAGTGCTAAGGGACGCTTCCAGGCACACCTATATATGTAAAGTAAATTTTAAAATAAAACTGAAGAAGGGTTGCGTTGAAAATAGGCGACTAAACTCAAACGACTATGGGTGACCCTACGATGAAGAACTAACAAAATGTTCTATTTGAAATAAAATAAGGCAGGTACCTGAACAAGGACAAGGAACCGCATGTTGAGAAGGTAGTGGGATAAGCGCTCGCACTGACACGCACGCGATACGGCTGCTCACGCCAGACTGACTGACTTGACTGGCTGAAGCCCACTTGTCCTCTCGTCCGTACTCCCTGGGCTTAGACCACCTGTCTGCCACAGTCCCGCGGTCCGAAGACCGCTCGTGCCCGCGGTCTCCTCTTCCTGTGTTGCAACCGGGACACGGATTTCTGCACTTTTCAGCCAACCATAAGAGGATATATCCGCTTTCACTGTCGCGGACCGGATCTCCGCCAATCCACTTCCCGCTAATTACTGGTGATATTCCTGTCATACAAATTAGCACCCGTTTCGGGGAGAGAACAGTGAAAGTTCTCGCGTTAAAAATCAGACGACGTCTTTCGTGTTCTCATTTAATTTCGACCTTTATTTAATAAATTTAAAAAACTAAAGAGGGAATCCCAAATTCAGATACGGGAGACTTTCCCCAACCGTGGGATTCGGCAGAAGAGACAAATCAAGGGGAAAGGGGAAGAGGAGGGAGAGACGGACTGAGACTCTCTGATTCCTCTTTCGTCTCGCATGAGAGCCTGGGAAATGGAAAGCCAATGACTCTGACCTGAATCTAAAAACATTGGAAGAGGGCGAGGGAGAACAATATTGCTTTCCTGGGCAAGGCCAGAGGGGGGTATTCCGACGACGAAAGTCTCCTTTGACAACATCGGTTTGGATCATTGCCAATCGTATTCGAGTCACCCACTGTGTCCATGACTACAGTAACAAAAAAAAGCCACGTGTCTCCACAACTACTCAACTCAGGGATTGCTTTTCCAGTAGCAATATTTTTTTCGGCATCTACGAGGTACAGGTGTCCAGAAGCGATCAACCCCTACCTATAGAGGCTGATCCACCAAGCTGAAGTGCAAACTTAAGAAACACACCAATTTTCAAAATTATTCACGTCTGGTTTTGACTTTCCAGTTTACGATGGAGAAGAATAATGCCTACTTCACATTATTCACATTATGACGATAATCAGATGATAATGTGAACTGTGTAGTTGAGCTGATGAGAGATAGCTTCATGTCACGAGCTCGTACTTCCGAAAAAATTATCTGAGGCATTAGATCGCGATAATGTGAACTCGTCCCTTCCACTGATAGTGATGGAATTGACACCAGTGCCTCCTGCGAGGAGGAACATGCGCAGCCTGCATAGCAGCGTCCATTTTCCACAAAGCAATCAATAGGTGCAGGAAATTGGACGGACATCGAAAAATGTCAATCGGGACTCGCAGAAGTGTAAACCTGGCAAAATAAAGCGCAAATACTCACTTAATCTTCGTTCGCATTTTCCTTGTAATTATACAACAATACCAGGACTGTTTCCTCACTTATGAAGATACAGAAAGATCCAGGGCCGGATTAAGGTTAAAAGCACCCGTAGGCAGAACGCAAACCACCCTCATTTCCATTCCTTGGCTCAATTTCTGAGTCAAGTTGAAATATTGTAATTTTCGGTGTAAGCTTGATAAAAGAAAAGTACTATTATTGAAGGAACGTAAATCCACTCAATGACAGATAAATTAAATTTTATGCCCACCGCAAATCGTTAACTCAATTTGCATACACTCGCTTTGGAAACAACGTGGTAATACACATAACCAAGAAGAAACTGAGCACTCTCCCCGAGCTTGAGTGGATAACCCTCTTTCTTCGTTCATTGCTCGAAATTCTGTTCACCGATCACGACGAATTCCTCATGGTTGTATGGCCTCTTAGTTCCCCTTGATTAAGGACGTAATACATGACGACTCATGTAGGAGTTTCGATAGGGCGATCGAGGAAAGATGGAAGGGCTCTTCCGTCTACTGCCTCTTCACCGCTGTTCTTTTCCGGAATGGCGTATTATTTTCACCGGGATGATGATTTTGATCAAATATACCCCATCTAAGTGGTGCGGCATCCGGAATAGTGCTGGGGTCTTGTGATCCAACCAAAGCAGTCAACACGATTGTTTTCGACTAATTGACAAGCTATATAAGACTAGTATGCGTTTTCTCCTGACAGCATTTCTCAGCGTCCACACTAGTTATGGAGCAGTCGACACGATTTGTTCAGGCTTGTTTTACAAGTCTATTTGCATGATTTGTACGCTATTTTCTAGGCATCAGGATTTCTTCCAGCAGTCACATTTAACCCCAACTCCTTATACCCAGTGGGAACATTGTCATTTATAGAAGTTAGGAAAATATTCAGCTACCCTTTGAATCACTAGAAGAAGCATACCGAGACCATTTCTCATGCTTCGCTGAATGCATTCAAAGTGTTGATTCAGAAGTAGTTATAATGATAGGCTAACGACTAGGGCCGGCTTTAGGCATGTGCCACATGTGCCCCCGCACAGGGCGCAAATTCACCAGGGGCGTCAAAACGTGACTTAATGTATGAAGCAATAATGGATGCTACTATCAGCTTTACTTCAGAAAGTGGAAATGCCTTTCGTTTCGGCGTCATTTTGGACGCAAGGGCTTGACCCTTCTTCCTTCTGGAGGGGGGGGGGCCAGTCCTGCCAACGACCATTGTATCAACTGTGTAAAGGTCGCGATACACTAAGTGTCAGAGAGACAGGAAAATTCAACCAAATATAAAGTGGCTTCCGCTTCAAGAACAGTCTGCGAGTGAAGCCTTAGTCTACAAGAAAAGGAGACATTAAAACTGGAAGCAAGGTCATACCTAGATAACACATGTGGAAACAACATTGAGGTGCCACATTGATTCAATGTGAAGATGTCATTTTTGTCAACATTGTTTCAACATTCCTCAAAGAGTCCCTCGTGATTGGGTTTCTCCATGGATAAAGTAGAGGTAAATTCATCAAAATGAATCGCATGACCTGTGGATGATGAACTACATATACAAAAGAGGATAAACCCTCTTCAGTATCTATAGGTCAGTACCCACAGAGTACTGAGAAGTTTGAGAGGATGGGTCCTCTTCAGTTCTGCAAACAGTACCAAAGCCTTGCATGCCTAACTGGTTTGCAAAACGAGGATAAATTCTCTCAGCTCCTCTCTTAAATTTGTGAATGGATCACTTCAGGTTATTCTTGAGTGTGCTCTACACGTCTTCAATCGCCTAGACTTCTATGCGCTCACACTAAACCTGGACATTTAATTTGTTTCAGAATCAGATTCTGCAATCAGAACTTAATAATTCCACATTTCTCTAATATATGTGTTCATTAATTACGAAATGTGATGCGACGACATTGTATCAACATTGAAACAATGTTCACCTTCAACCTTCAACATTCGCACACTCAATCCACATCCAATCCATGTTGATTCAATGTTCTGTGTTACCTGGGTATTAGGAATGATCACTCTTACACTAATGCTTGATTTTATGGGGTGCGATTAACCTTGGTGTGGCCATGTTCAGCAAGAACGAAGCTTCAAAAAGGACAAGTTTTAATCACTAATGACCACGACCAACACTTCACCATGAAACCAGAAATGGATTTTTATGGATGTGCACATGGTGGTCCTTCACTGCTTCCGGCCCTCCATTACAGCCGGCAGCTCCTCAGGTCGTAAACACGAATTTTGTTATCTGATAGATGTGTGCCAGTTTGCCCATACAAAACGTTACCCCCTCGTTCGTCCGAATTTCATCGCTTTTTCCCCTAATCCTTACCTGAAGGGTCTTCTGACAGGTTGAGAGACGGGGGAAAACTTTTTTTTTTTTTTACCTCAGTTTCACCTTTCGAATTTTACCTCAGGGGGAAATTTTTTTGTAAGGGTGGATCTGCTGCAGCGCATCGTGCCCCGTGTCGGCATCCGTTCTATAGATACAAGATTACTGCTAAGTTGGTTCTTCGCCCTGAGCCCATGTCCTGCGAACTTCAGCATCCGACGCCTGGTGTGTTACTCGGGGCCCTCTACGTTCGAGACATGCTGCTGTCAGTCGACATTGACGGCGATTCTCAGAATGAGTATAGCAATCGTTCAGCCGGTGCTTCTTGTCTTATGAGAGGATCCATGCCTCGCTAAGTCGCAACAGTAGAGCAGGGCCGTCGTGGCAGTTGTCTGAAGGGCCTGATCTTGAACCTGCGGCTGAAGTTTGACTCCCACACGCTGCACATCACATTACAGGCGAAAAATGCAAGAGCGCATTGGACGCTGGTGTAGGAGAAGTATTAAAGTTGAAAGAGAGTATGCCAATATTTTGTAAAACATATTTCAATTGAATTAATGACACTTTGTATTGATACAGTATTACAAATCTTTTTCTAATGCAGCGGTTCTCAACATTTTCTTTGCAACGGCACCCTTTTCAGACAGCTATAGGTCGGCGGCACCCCAGCACATCCTCGATTCTCCATGCACAATTGTATAAGCCTAACCAGGACCTCTGAATTCGTTCTTGACAGGTTTATTTTAACTGTTATATGGCAAAACCATAATAAAAGTATTCTTTTTATACCAAGAATAAGAGAAGGTAGACATACACATCTGCCTGCAAAAGTAATCTGCATCTTTATTGCAGCAATAATATCGATTTTGACATTCCTTCTTGATAGATACTCTTTTAATAAAAAAGTGTATTCCAGGAGTACGCAATGAGTCAATTTCTATCAAAATTGACTCAGATTACATATTCCTGGTATACACTACTATCGAGAAAGTAGGCTGAAGTCAGAAGTTAGATGAGGTTCTTCAGAAGAGGTTTCCTGTCCGATCCGTATAGTGCTTCTCGAGAACCGCTATCTTAAAGTATACATCGGTGATGGCATTTTGCACTTTTAAGAACCAATAAGGGGCACTGATCACTCTAACCCAGAATGACTTCACATTTGTTTTTCACCGTATCCAAAGGCCTGGAGTCCCTTCTCACGACGCCTACCGTGGGCTTTCTTCTCCTATTCAGCAATCTGGCACCGATTAATTGTCGAATATGAATCAAGCATGAGGGAAAGCAACCCACACGAACCATAAAAAAAACGCTCCCCGTGCTTCGGTTAGTATACTATCTCCTTTTCCCTTGATTGATGACCTCATTCCGCGAGGACGGAAAATAGCACATCGCTGCATAGGTAATATGGCTTTCCAATGATATGCAATTACAGTAACTGCGACACGGGACGAGGAGTTATCCAGGGAAAGAGAAAGGGCCAGTTGAAACATGCTCAAGGAGAGGGGAATTTTTTTTCTTAGAATGAATATTATAGATTTCCATATTCAGCGCCTTTAAATTTCTCATTTATGCCAATCACTTAGACTTTTCTTCTCTTATTGTGTCAAGGGAAAGACTGGTCCACAACCCCGGCATCGAGGTCGTGAATATGCGCGCATGCAGCGTGACGTCGCAAGGATGTGCTTTACCGAACTCATCTCCTGTACACATTATGGAAGCTCCTATTGCCCCGACTTTGTATTGAGTGGAAAGTTCTGTCGGTTTTTAAAGTGAAACTATCTGGTGATTTTTTTCTTAGTTTTTTATTAACTGCTTTAATCTTTCATGTAACTTCCATTATTAGTTATGACTGTCTCCGATCTGTTCAGCAACTTTTCAATTCCATCCGCATACAATTTTTCCGGCTTGGATGCGAAAAAGTTCTCAATGGCCGTTTCGACAGCTCCAAAAGAGGCGAAGTTCTTTCCCCATTGAGATGGTTCTGCAGCGATCAGAATAAATGGTAGTCCGAAAGTGCGAGGTCTGGGGAATATGCTGGATGGGCAAGAATTGACCGATTGAGTTCCTTTCATTTTTGTTGAGTCTTCATCGCCACATGTGGTCGCGCATTGTCGACGCCCCTTCTGTTTACCAAAGATGGACACTTTATAGCGAGAGTTGAGTTGAGTTGCTGGCAGTAATGGTCAACATTAACGGTTTCGTTGGATCTCAGAAGCTCATAGTATACAACTCCCTTACAATCCCACCACCAACAGAGCATAACCTTGCTTTGGAGTAGGAATAGGAGATTGTCCTGCAGCACAATATTGACGTTTTCGTTGCACATTGTAGTACAGAACACACTTTTCGTCACCAGTAATCAATCGATCCAAAAAAGGCTCTGCAAGCTGACGGGCGCGATGCATAACACATATGGTGACCCAATCAAGCAAGTTTTTTTCGGACAAATTATGCGGTGCCCAAGCGCTACTCTTGAGAAAAAAAAAAAAACAAGCCGATGAATGTGCTTTAGGACATTTGTCTGGTAAATTCCACGATTCTCGCAAATTTCTGTAGATGTTTGGCGAGTATCTGCCTTAATGAAGGCCCGCAGTTTATCATCATCGACGTCGAAGGAGCGTCCAGAGCGTGGTTCATCCTCCAAACTGAAGTTACCAGAACGGAATCTGGTAAACCATCTTTGACACATGCGATCAGTAATGGCGTCCTCCCCAAACACTTCACATAAATTTTTACTTGCGGTCGTTGCGTTGTTTCATTTTTGGAACTCAAAGCACAGTGTCTCAAATGCACTTTATCCATAGACATGTTGAATGCACAGTAGTTCATTTTGGACTGAACGGTTAAACTAAATTCATGTCAAACGTACTCTATAACCCTTACTCAAACATAAAACCGGTTTTTAAAAGTGTGTGCAGCTTAGTTCGCATATGGGAAACAGAAATTATCGACCCACGAAAAACCGACAGAACTTTCGCTTAGACCCAATATTCAGTAACCTTACTAGTCTCTCGTCCACCAATACTTAGCTTTTCCCTCTCATATCGTTAAGTTGCCTGCATAAAAAGTTTAATGTGGCAATACCTCTTTCCACTTCCTGAGTTATCATTAAACTACTTTAACTAACAGATCAGAGAAGTTGGAGTGTTTCTGAATTGAGTTTTCATTTCAATATACTAGTACTTGGTCCCACTCTCTTTGCCCAACTACACAAAAATGTTGTACAACATGCAGTAGCGAGCATGAGGACATATGTACATCTGGGTGGGAATAGCCTAAGGTGAAACCGGGATTTAAAAAAACAAACAAACCACCTCCAATTGTTTGGGCAACAATAGCAAAATTAACCAGTAACCAAGATGCCTCTAGGATGATAAAGCTTTGTTTGCCTCTCCCCCAGCTAGTGTACTGCATCAATTTTCTCAATTTTCTTTCTCCTCCAAAATAATTTCTCCATGGACAATATAAAATTTTTCCCCCCTAAAAAGGTAATTGGCTTTGCACTGAATCTCAGCAAGGAACACAAGTTTAATGAATGGAATTGGTTAGGAGATGCAGATGATGTAGATAAAAGAGATCACAGAGTGTATATGGTAATGACATCTAATGAAGAATCCTGGAAGACCTTCTCTATGATCTCATTCATTTGCTTCCACTCCAGGCCATCCAGGCCACACCCAATACGAGGCATAGCAAGAGCTTTGACTCCATGCTCCTCACAGTGTTTCTTCATTGCATTCAGGCTCTTCTCCACTGCTGCATATGTTGGCTTCTCAAAGTACTTTGCTTTGGTGATGAGATAGTAGACATGACGATCTCCACGCTTGAGGATTGCCACCTCTCCAACACTCTTTTTCTGTGTCTGCAACTCTGACACACCTGCAAATTTCTTCTTGAAGATGGCTGCAATGCCTTTACCCATACGAATATCTGCACTGATGCAATGAGCTAGGGAAGTACTCTCAGGGCAGGAGAACAGATCTCCTTTCACTTCCTGAATATCTGGCATTTCTTTTTTTTCTTCCCTCTGGATTATGAGGCATGTACAAATGGTGAACCTAAGATAATGCTAATGAAGGTCAAGAGAGAATGGTCAATACCCTCATATTTATGCCACATATTGCAACAAAGTTGGTTAGACCAGGGATTCTTTCAACATTAAAACTAGGAGGCTATTGCTAATAGGATCAGATCAGGTAAGGTTAACCAGTGGTGTAGGCAGGAAATTGGCAAGGGGGGGTTGAAGCCAGGTAGATATCCCAACCCTATGCCTAGCTCCACTACTCTAAATTAACCTTTTCAAAGAAATGGTCTTGCATCTTGATTCTGTGGACAGACATAAGACTTTCCTCAAAGGGGTATAGCTAAAATTGGAATTCTCAATGAAAGGTGAAATATGCCTGTCAGTGTCACAGACCGAGAAGCCCAAGGGGGGGTTCTAACCCCCTAAACTCCCCTCCCTTCCCTACGCCAATGAGGTTAACAAAACATTCCTCGGGTAAAAATCATGGCTATAATGGTTCAATGTGCAAAAATGCGAAATAAAAATACTGTAGTACATTTATGAAACTTAATGTTTTAATGCTTTAAAGCGGTTAACTACCAACATGTGGTTCTTGTTAACGTTACAATTCGTCACGTCTCTGGTAACCCCTTGCCCCCCATGTATAAGTTATGAGATCCTGGGCCAAATGTGCAAAGGCTTCATAGGAGTAAAACAAGGTGAATGAGGACTCTTAATATTTAACATAACGTTCACAAGATAGCACTATCTTTAAATCTATGGAAGTGCTCCTACATGGTACAATTTCTATCAGAATAGTGCAGTAGGCTGGATATTATTCAAGAATAAGCTTAACCTAATGCTGTTTTATGCATAACTATGGAGCGCAACACGGGCCTAGGACCTCCGGCGTTTTGATACTCCAAGCCTAGACATGTGTAAGTATATATACTTGTGAAATTTAGATCCAGAAATGTTGGGTATCCAATAAGTTGATAAAGCAGGGTTGTACAATGACCACCTACCAGCATTATTAAGAAGTTGCGAGGCCCGGGGAAAGTGGATTCTTGATTTCCCCCCCCCCCCTTAACCCGGCCCTGCTAACAAATCAAAGTGATGTTGGTTAAAATTGCAATTAAGTTTTAAAATTTTTTGAAGATACATAACATTGCAAAGCACGTAGAATGACGTTAGGAGAATGCCAGATAAAAGGAATACGGCAAAGAATCTATTGCAGCAAAATGTACTATAGGCGGGCAACCGTAAATTTAAGTGCCATTCACACATTTGGTTGCCGAATCCTAATTTCTCTACCTGTTCATGTAATATCAATTATTGTGATATCCATTATATATTTTTACATTTTCATTTCAATGTCAGGTATGAATTTTCCGAAATAATTAATAAAAAAATTCCGCAGCAAAATTAGGCAATGAGATGTTATAAAGGAACTGCTTATGCGATGAAGAAACCCTAACAGGTCTAAAGATAGATGGCGCGTGAGTATCACCCCCCCCCTCTTCTTTCATGTCGGCTGTGTGGTGCAACGATGTGAAGTAGCCCTCCTGAACGTCACACTTTTACTACAAAAGTCTTACGCACCAGGTGAATGTTATTTGTGTCTAACAGTTAGAAGGATGTCATTGAGACTTTGGATGTACGCTTGTTAAAATATTATGGGACACATCCACATCCCACAACGGACGTCCTATGGACATACTAAGGATTTGGTGTATGGGACGAGAGTATTTCTAACCTTACGGGATGTCCTCTGATTGCTCCAAGGATTTCCATATCGCGGGACGATTTCATTATGACATCCATGGGATGTCATTTTGTCCCAGGTAGAATCCAAATGGGATGTCCCAGGGATGATCCCTTGCTACTTCGGTATGGTGTGGTGTTTACTTTATGAAGTGGGAGGAGGTGACATTATTGGAGGCTACACTATTAAAAGAATTTGAGAAGTCATGAAACTCAAAGAAAGTTAGTGGAATGGCATGAGAATGAGGGTGTAGGATTGAATTGCTTGAATTAGAGGCTCTGATTCAAGCCTGTACATGATTAAAGCTCTAGATCCATGAGCATTCTGGGAAAGGGGACAAACAGGGTCAATGGAGATACAAAGATTTTCTAATTCACAAAAACAAAAGCATGGACTTGGGCCTATTGATCACAGATGATAATGGAGAGGAGGAGAAAGGTAGGTTCACGCATAACACCATAGCTAGACTCATCAGTGAAAATAAAAGGAGCCATGAGAGCAGCCAACCGCACTGCAGCCTTTACTGAACCTCTAAAGTATGGAAAGAATGTTCATGAATGTTTTTTACTCCCTTGGGTCATAGTGGTTTTACAGTTTAATCATTTTTTCATAGCACGTGTAGCATGGCTTTGGAAAGCTAATTTAACTTGGAAACCAATGTTGACTTGATTGATGCTCTCATCCAGCAACAAAAAAGGAAATTGCTTGGGTTTGATTGTACAACTAACCACATAATCAAAAGAAAGAAATATTAAATAATTTTTCTGTAAATTGTTACTGAAAAAGTGTGTAGGGTGATGTTCCCCAACATAGGCCAGTCCTAACAGTCATAGTAAATGAGGCCTAGCACAATATTATTTTCCCACAAGGCATAGACACATGTCCTCACCCCTAAACTTAACCCCTCCAGCTGTTATCCCAAATATGTACTCATAGCCACCTGCATTTGCCAGCAGTGGTATCCCAAATATTGGCATGAGGGGTTAAGTGATGAGAAGCAGGCTAGTCATGTTCTTAGTATGAACAGACCTACAAGTCAATGAGTATAGGAAAAAAACAGACCCAGATGTGCCAGCCTATTAGTGTTGCAAATATATACAATATTTACCTCATAACATTGTTAAAAATCTACAGGGTGTGGTAAAAGTTTGGCGACAGTTGAAAAGCTATTTATTGATTTTTAACCATAATAACAGAGAAAACTAATAAAATGTGGCAGAAAGCAACAAACATTAATGAAGTGGCTAAAAAGGAGACAAGCGAAACTGCATCCACATGAATAGAAAATATTCAAAAATAAAATTGGTAATACATCTGTGACTAAACTTTTGCTGCATCCTGTGATGTGAGGCCTAAGATGTTGCTTTTGGGATCAGTTTGCAACAGGTGCTCTGACACTTATGGTGTTCATTGGTGAAGTAAACTTGTCAAAGGTTCCAAGGTGGCCTATTGGAAAAGAGCTCAAAAGGAATAGCAGCATTTTCAATAAGTTTTCATTTTTAAATCTTCAAATTAAGATAGGCCCTTAGCATTGCTTGGCTGAGACCTTGATCTACATTTGTCTAGTCTTTGCTAACATTATCTTAATTTTTTTTCAGGTTCTCAGAGACATATCACGCAAAACATGCAGGTTTTGGTCAAGGGACTGAAGACACATGTCTTTAGTTTTGAAGATGACAAGTCGGTTGGAGATCTGAAGGTAAGGAATTTGAGAGTTGTTGCTATCTTCAGCACATGTGTATTTAATCTGGCCTTCTGCTTTCCCATGAGAAGCCTACAGGCCTCTTTTTTTATAAATATTTTTGCATGGGTTATGATATGAGAGTATCATCAATTAGTCAACATTAGAGGCCTATAGCAAAACAAAATCATGCATAGGTTTGCCTTAACCCAGCTATGCTTGATGTTCTATATGTTTGACACCATGCAGAGATGTGCATGAAAAATTCTCAACTGTAGTTCATCGTTGATTAACAGATGGCACTGGCGGTACACAACACCCAAATAGTTGTTCAGTATGACTAGCAATTGATCAAGTTGTACCCATTAAAACAGCTGACCAAGACATGTTAAAGTTTATACAGTGTTTCCAGATTGACTTTGGCCCCCCTGCCCCCTTTCCGAGGTTCTGTTGCCTGCAGCGCCGTGAGAGACATCTTGTCTTTACCATCATTACTAATGATGCATTAACTGGTTTTACAAGAAGTGTAACAGTAGAGGCACTAGTGGGTCAAGTCATAAGATTGTTTTAAGTACGGGAGACACGTTGCCTGCTTAAACTGAAAGTGAGCTAGGTATAATTCAAAGATCTGAAACATAGATGGAATTCATATAAACTTGGGCCAATACTGTACCATCTGACACCACTGGTCATTAAGAAAACAAGTAATCAAAGAGATGCTTGTGAAGACATACATGGAGGTGTGTCTCTCTCTTTCTTGGTAGATGGGCCACAACTTCATTATGAGATTGGGACATTTTCAAGGATATGGGTATTTTATGGGTGCAAGAAATACATGACTACATTGTTATTCTCTTACTGTACAAACGATTTCTCTAACATATTTTTTGCAAGTATGCAAGTTATGTGGGGATTCACCCATGTCAATGAAGTTTGTTCCCTCTGCCACTTCCTTCATTTTATGTTCAACAATGTACCAGTAACTGAAAATTGATTAATATAGATAATATTAGGATTTTTTAAATGTCAGCTGTGGAAAAACTAATTGTCTCCCTAGAAAAAAATGCTTAGTATTTTTAAAGTAGGAAAAACTTTTGAACCACACCATTTCTTTTGCACTGCCAGTTTGTTTGGGAAGAACAAATCTCATCCAAAACTTTCATTGGGATCGTGCATCTCTTTATGTCATCTATGGTCACCAGCTCAATGTGCATCATATCCTTGAATGGTCCTGTGACATCTTCCATGAGCCTGCAAGGAATTAGTTAAATTGATGTCTCAATTAGGCCTCTATTGCTTGTAATGACATCTGTTGAAAGTGATAGAATAACTTTTTTTTCCGAGCCACCAGTAGGGTCCATAGAAAAGTATGGAGCCCATGTTAATGGGGGTTAAAGTCATCCCAGAAACACTGTAGTGTATGCTGCATGCTGTCCTACTCTGGGCATGTCTTGGTTAATGTTTGGTCAACCCTCTGCCTGCAAAGCTGTTTTTTTTTTTCTCAATTTCAAAAATTTTTTCTTCAAACTATAAGCTTTGCCAAGCCCACAAGCCCCCCTAACCCTCTCTAGATGCTTCTTTTAATCCCAATGTAAACTTAAAGAAGGAAATTACAAGGTTTATGCTTTAATCCATCAAATAATATGGCAACATATTTATCCCAGTAGGTCTGACATTAACCATTAATTTGCAAAGCCTTACTTTATCAGATTCTAAAACAGGATTACTCAGCATTAAGCTTAATTATCCTGTCAAATAATCTTTATTGCAATTATACTTTACATGCATTGTTATACATCTCAGAATGCTCAAAACACATGGAGTATTATGCACCAGACACATTATAGTGGAGTGGCATTAACAGGTAAGTCATCATTTTATGGTGGGTTCTGGGACAAACACCTATTTCCAAGTTGCGGTGCAGAAAATGGTGCCTTCAAACATCATTTTAAACCCACCGACATAAAACACAACAGGCCTACATAACATGCTAAATCCCATAACTTTTGCAGTGGGTCAAACTGGACCACATAAAACTTTTTCCTCATCTGTCTCTTAAGACAAATTCAGTTTCATTTTCATATTTTCCTTAAGGAAAATATGAGAATGTCACTGTCACTGCTCACTGTCTTTAGCATCCCTCCATTTAGGTGGTCTGCAAAATTCTGAGTGGAGGCTGAAAGGCACATGTGGCAGAGAAAAGGAATTGGTAAAGGGGTTAATGAAGCAACCAATTATTTTTAATGAGCTACAGTCATGTTCACATTATTAATTTTTCTTCCCTTGTTACCCTGACTGTACACATATTCTTTTGACTGCATGCTTATAGAAATAGTGTCAAGTTTTTCTCTGTGTATGGGGAATTAGAAAACTATCTGCAGATTATCAACTGCATTGCACCCTTGCAACCAGTGAAGTACATGTACATGATGGGATGGCTTGTCAGTGGATATTGGATGTACTAAGCTGATGAAGTGATAGTGAAAAATATTTCAACTGTTTTTTCTCCTTGCCTAGAAATTTGTGGAGGGGTCCGAAGGCATTCCCATCAGTGATGTGCGTTTGTACCATGAGGGTCACCTCTTGGATGACAACAATGCAAGCCTTCTGTCCATGCCATCCCTCACAGTTGTGGAAGTAGATGCTGCACTTCTTGGAGGTTTTTATTCTCACTCCTAAGAGCTAAGAAGGAAAGAGGGTGCATTCAGTGATCACCTTGAAACTAACATGGCTTCTCCCTTGGTAATATGGCAGTGTCCAACATGTGATGTGTGGCTATTAATTTAACTAATTTGAGCAACTTTTTCCAAATTTGTTGAGCTTTTTTTTTCTAATGAGAAAATGGCAGGGGTTTGATGCCATAATAGTTCAAGTGATGGGTTATGATAGGTCAGACTGATACCTTTACCCCTTTCCTGTGTTAGGCATAATATTATGCTCAGAATGCAGAAGATTGTGGAGTTTGAGATTGAAGATCTCATTTGAGAAGATGCAAGAGCAGCTGTAATGGGTGGATATTTATCAAACAGAGGCCTTTTCTGAAAACATGTCATCCCAGGCAGCATGGCAGTGAGAAAGGGAGGGTTGATTGTTAGTGAAATCAAACTTCATTAAAGTAATAATTCATTCTGTCCTGATTATGCAAGTCACTTGGGAGTGATAAAAAAAAAAATCAATAACATGGGTATGTTTTGGTATGGAAATGGGCATTTTCTTGCAAGAAATTCAGTGGGAGGAGGATTAACAAAAAAATTTGCACAGCTGAGGGGTTAATAAGCCCAACAGCCATGAGCCTTCTGGAATTGTTTGTTGTGTTTTTCACTTGAATTCAACCTTAGTCATTTGACTCTTTCCTCTTGAGCCATCTTTGATTGGGTCCATGGTGTTATTGCATGAATGTTGCAATTAGAAGCTCAACCTACCTCAGAAGCTTTAAATTAGTGCTGACGATTGCTTTTTGTTTTATATTGGTCCCTTGCATTTCTTCATAATGAATTTTCCCTCCAAATGATGTTTCCTTGTCACTAAAAAAAAAGCTTAAATTCTACATAACTGCTGACAAACACCATTTGAGATTAGGAATAGGAGATTTAAAGTGATCATGCATCCAACATGTATTGTTAATTTCATGAAAATTTAAGTGAAGTCAGTCCTTGAGTGAGAGCTTTTCTTCATGTGATACCAATTGGATGTGTTTGTAAGTCTGCTAGACCTGGCTGCTCTCTTGTCTTGTGCCTGTAGCTGACCTGAGTAAGTAACAAGGAGGGTAAATTGATTCAATTTTGGCACTGTCATTATCCAATATGAGATTTTCACTGAATGTAGAAAGCACTGATGACATGTTGACTCACTATGAAGATAATGAATGGGCATAGCTATGACTGCCTTCCCTTTTGAGGTTTTTGATGAGGTTCAAGGAGAAATGAGGGAGTTGTCATATATGATGAGCAAGACTATAGTATCATGACCCAAGTTGATGGTTACTGGCATTCCTTTGAGCAAACATTCCAAAAAAAAAACAGAAAAGGGAATTTCTTTTCCTAGATTTCCCTAAGTGATGCTAACCTTAGTATAATCTGAATGTAGATTGATGATGCAGCAGGAGAAGGGTTAAGTCTCTATCTCTAAACAAATAAATTTTCCCCTCCCAAGGAGGTAATGTCATATCATATGTAGACATTGATATCAATTGCATGCACCTGGATGATCAAACTTATGCAAGTTTCACAATTTTATCAAAAATAAATTTATGAATAGAATCTAGCTATGAATATTCAAGGCAGCTTCAGATAGTCAATATTCTGATATATCAGGTATGTCCTTTTGGGACTGAATAATCAGCCATAACATGTATGGGTTATGGTGAATGACATTTTTTCAGTTTGATCTCCTGTGAGTCCAGTATATCAAAAAGCAAATTAATTGCAGCTCTCTATGGATTTGACTTCTGTACTTCACAATAGTGTTATAGATGAAAGAGAAGAGTGCACCTTCTAACCTCTTGGTTTTTCTGTGATTTTGTGAACCTCATGACTTGTTTTGCTATTTCATGCTAACATTGACCTGAATTTACTTCTAGGAAAGGTTCATGGCTCTCTAGCTCGAGCTGGGAAGGTCAAGGACCATACTCCAAAGGTAAGATTTTAGCCTTTCTCCCAAGCCTTTTCCCTTCAGATGCATGGATGTGTGGTTTTATTTTTTCTGGGGTACAAAGTACAAAATAGTAAGTACTAGTCCTAGAAGTCTTTGCCCCATGAGAATGTCACAAACAATCTTTTGCATATTCTCTTCCATTTCTCTCTAGTAACCCTGCACAATGAAAGCTAGAGGAAGAATATTCCAATCCTATTTTTTCTATTCTTGTATCAGACATTGAAACGTAATTGCAATTCAAGTTTGTACTGAAATGTATCATCAGGTAGAGAAGCAGGAGAAGAAGAAAAAGAAGACTGGTCGGGCAAAGAGGCGAATGCAATACAATCGCAGATTCGTGAATGTGGTTCAGACTTTTGGACGCAGGAGGGGACCCAACACCAATTCCTAATTTCAATCTCCAGATTGAACATGATGCTCTGAATCCAATAAAGCTTATTCTGAACCCTTCATGTCTTCATGTTCAAGGCAATGCCAATAACTGATTGATTGATTAAAATTGAAACAACTTAATTTCCCAAACAATAATTCATTAAACAAGCAAATACATTCTGATTTGAAATATTATAGAGTATGAGGAAACACTGTGGGTTGAGAAAAAATTATGAATGCATGAAATGAAATGTAAAAAATAAGGAACCCTGATATCTGGTTTCTCTAACACAACCAGGGTGAAAAGCAGACATCACCTAATTCACTTTAAAATCAATTTCCACAGTTGAATATTACTGCCCTAGTCTCTGATCACATTGGCTGAATCTCTGGAGACACCAGACATATTCTTCAAATCTCCACCCCTCGAGCGTGTCTTGGAAGCTGTTAAAGAAAGTCAAAGAGCCAATCAATCTTTAAGCAACACTGGAAAGTTAAAGCAAGGAGTTGAGATTTCAAAAGCATATCAAGCTAACATCTCATAATTGACTGGGTAAGGCCAAATTGGGAAATATATTGCCAGCAAATAAACTTCAAACATCCTCTTATATTGAATAACTTCAAGAATTTAAATTCTGCAGCATTAAGCATGGGATTCTATCAGAGCTTCTGCCAATCACTTGTATGTCCATTCCAATGTTGAATTTAAGTATGACAAAAGAACCCTTTACTTTTAAGTAATACCCCTTCAAATCCTGTCGCACAGCTTTTGACACCTGTGTGACAGGATTTGAAGAGGTAGATAATCCCAAGCTAATATCAGTACAATGCCCATCATTATGGGAAAACATTTCACTTGCATGCATACAGATAAAGACCAGCCAGAATACCTTGTACTTGGGGTTGTTTTGTGATGACTAACAAATTTAACCCCATCCTTGTTGCAAATTTTCTTAGCTTCAAGGTTAACAGCAAGAATATTTATATTGTGCTTCAAGCTAGTCAATCATGTCAAATTGGTGATTCAGAATGGTTCCAAAAATTAATCATTTGTGAGGGGGCTATATCACTGCTCTTTCCAATGTTTAATATTTACATTCTGCCATAGTGAAGCAGTGCAAGGATGTTTAGCCTGTCATGTAAAGGTTCCACAATGTTCTGAGCCACACGAGAAAGGAGCCAAAAATCTAAAATCTCTCTGCCTCCAGAAGTTCAAGACCATTGCCAAAAAAAGTCTACCAGCCCAAAAGTTTATGGCCAAAAATGGAGTGTCTGCAAAAACCATCAATCACTTGATCAATAGGCATCTGGGACTATAGAAGAGATTTAAGGGTAAAGATCACAAATTCCTTTGGCATTTCCAAAAAGCACAATACTGAGGCCCAAAAGCTGTATGAATACCATCTTCTGGGAGAGAATGGAAAGATGCGACATTGGATAAAGCTTGGATTTATCTGGCAGGAAGGAGGTTAGGACCATTCATTACATTCCTCATTAAGAAGCACATTTTAAAAGTGCCACCATGAATGCAATGAGAAAATTTTAAAAGTTTCATGGTATGGCCAGTTCTTTTCATAGCTGCAAAATGTGAAGCCTCCAGCTACATCGAAGTTTCAAATGGAACTTTCCCAAAGAAGATGGAGGAATGGCATATATTCATGCCATTCCTTCTTTTGACATCCCTGTCAAGTCTTCCAAAGCATGTCCAATGGATTTTTGTATGGTTGGCCTACTCAAGAAACACTTGGGAAGTCATAAGTCTGAGGGGATAAATGGAATAATAAAAACTTGCAGGGGAAGGCAGGGAAAGCAACTTGCAAGACACCCTTGATGTACTGAGGAGGAGCCTCTTAGAATGGGAATTGAGATGTTGGGCAATAGTCAATATTAAAGGGTACCAAATCAAGCATGATAGATGGTGAAAAAAAAAAGTTATCCCCTGATGATCTAAAATTCATTACCATAGTAACAAAACAACCCTCTGTCCTAGGGTTCTCCTCTGAAATACCTATCAAAAATTTTTCTCACATAAGGCTTGGCATCATCCCCAAGGCTGGGAAAATTGTTGAACACACCAAAAGCATCCTCCAATTTTGCAAGTGATAATCTGGTTTAACTGCAGCTTTATTAAGCTGAGAGAGACAGTCATGGAAATTTATAATTATATGCAAATTTAATAAATGAATTTATGCAAAAAAAACCTCAATTCTAAATAGCAGATATTTCATTGTAAGGGGAGAGGAAAGTGCTTCTTATTGCCAAGTGAGTCAAGAGTTTATTTCCAAGAGCAAGGTTTTAGAGAGGGAGACTGAACAGCACACAGCACTCCCATATCTTGAGATATAGGATGTAGAAAAAAATGGAGGTAGTTTTCTGGTTGCATATTTCAGGATAAACCACCCAGACCAAAATGAGTTTCTTATGAATGTAAGATTACATGGATTTGTAGGTGAATTGGGGTCAAATCGGGTTATTTCTAGATGCCTCAAATGCAACATGGATCCATTCCTTTTCCTCTAGTCAATGGAATGTTTCACTGACATAAGATTTTCAATACCTTGGCTTATTTCTGCATTTCATTTATGAACTGGCACAAACCCCTAACCAACAATTCACAACTACTATAGTATACAAGACAGTTGGACCTGTGAACATAGTCCTATGACTAGTATAGTAGAAGAGGAAGACCAGGAGTGTAACTTTCACTTGATGAAGGCAATCCAAGTATTCAGAGGTCCCACAAATACTGCATTCACATTGTCTGGTTGCTTTTCCTCCACATATTGACTGCCATGTGATATGTCAGCCAGTTTTGTACCACACAAAGGGTAAAATAAAATCTTGCAGTGTAACACACCAGCGTATGCGGTACCATAAGAAAAGAATTAACAAAACCACCTTGGCAGTCAAAATGTTATATTTCTGTGCCAAGAATATTTTTTCTCACAGAAGCAGGAGGCCTCCACCCAAACCCATACTTTTACCTATGTTTTGCATGATTGGTGAGGAGTAGCACTTACATCATTTCTGCCACTCTGATATGCCAAGGCAGAAATCCAAACAGAGAGTCTACTATGCCAAACTTGAGGACAAGGTCAACTTCAGGGAAGCCCAAGCTGCTGCTCAGATGCTGACCAAATTCATCCACAGTGATTCCAGACACATCTAGTTTTCCTTCCTTTACCTGGGAGCAGAGGTGTCTTGCTGTATTTATGATGTCACCTCTGCTGTCTCCGTTATCTAGCAGCCTCAAATAAAGGGTCTCCTTCGATGAACCTGTGAATCAGCATCATTAATTATGCACAATTTGCAAAACTGTACTCATAAGAGTACAGTACCTAAAGAATACCTAAAATAGGCTATTAACACAAAACTCTGCCTCAGGAACTGCATATACACCTGCTAATAAAAATTGGAATCACCTGTGTGACCATTAAGGAGACCATTCCTCTTGGGAGTATCCTTTTCCTCATGGAAAACTACTTTGTACAACTGATAGTCTCTCCCCAAATATTCATGCTGTGTTGATATCACTTGCTCTTGAAGCTTCTCAATGACTTCCCCCTGTTTCACCATTCCTGTAAAATGGCTTACAAATATAGGAACTGGTCTGATACACCTATGCAACCATTTAAAGCGTAGGCCTAAGTTCACTTGATTGAAACGACTTGAACAAAGTCCTACCTTTGGGGTCATAGATGCTCAAATATGGCACACCAGACAGCAAACTCCATACTACAAGGTTAGCTAATTCACTGAGAAAGAGTTTATTCTCGGCTAGGACGACACCAATGTGCTGTGGGAAGCGCTTGAGCTTCTTCCTCAGTACGAAGATGGTCTCGGCGTGTTGTTTCCTCAATCCAGGAGAACACAGGAGCCGAACCGATGCTGTCCTCCAGAGCACGATGCATCTCACGTAAAGTCGATACCACTGACGAAGAAGAAATAGCAGAAGGAAGGATAGGAATTTGTAAAATCCCAGTCGATCCAAGATTCGTCCCATCACTGTTTTGGTCACGAGTCCATTGAGATCATTTATGCAGGCAGAGTCTCGTGACGAAGCACTGGACTCAGCAGGGGCACGTCCTCAGCTACTGCCGGTGTGCAAGACAGGGTTGCCGTTATCAGAAGTGTCCATGGATTCGCTATTCTGATCGTCAAAGCCATACTTCACCCGCCATCATCCTAAACCTGTACTGTGTTGGAAAGAAGCTGCCTGTAGCAAGAGACAGCATTAAATTTAAGTCAAGTCGTGGACTGCGATGACAAGGTTTGGGCCCGTATGCCAGTAACATTTCTGCTCTTTGACGTTCTGGTTCTCGGTCAGGTCAGGTCAATTCATTTCATACAAACCCCACTCTTCCCCAATCTCCCAGTCTTATATGGGCCAGCCCGTACAAAGATAAACGTTTTTGGTAGGCATAATCGTAGATGGGTGAAGTGGGGAGGGGGGGGCACGTGCCAACCTGACCCCCCGACGCTACGCCGCTGTCGGTGGGAATATGTCAATCTTACTACTATATACTTTTTTGTTTTGGCCATAACGGCGTTTAACTTCTTTTAAACCCTTTCACTCACCCCAAGGGCACGGAGACAGAAAATAGTTTTTATTTTTTGTGCACATATTTCACCCATAGATTCCCTCATGAGGCATTCTTCCTGAAGCAAGTGATTCAAGAAGACATTCTCTAATCAATGGTAACCACTCAGTTTAAAATCCCTGTTGGCATTTTTCAGCTGGACCAAAGCTGTAAATTCGGACCATTTCCAGCTGGCGATGGGCTGGATACAGAGTGTTTTACAGCTGGAATTTCCCATTTGGAATGCAACTGTTTAATAGCTGTTTCCAGCTGAAAATTCCCAGTTAGAATTTTATACAGAGGGCCCTTCAACTGAAATTCAGCTGCTTCTGTTGATGGATCTCGAGCAAGAGCAACCAACAAAAGCATTCTCGTTCTGACAGCGGTATTACAATTAGGAACCAATCTGGATCTGACTTTAGTTTCCAGCTTTTACTCAGTTGCAATGGTCCAGCTGGAAATTATAGCTGTTTTCAGCCGGGATTTTAAGCTGACAACCAATAAATTGTACAATTACAGTTGATAATGTCAAAAGGGAGAATTGGAATTAGAGGTTGATTTGCATACTGATGAGATTATAAATGACTTTTGCAACAAAGAAAATGGACAGGAAAATAATTGATTGTAAGGGTTGGAGCTATCCACAACTGAAGTAGCCACTACACCTTTATTATACACGTCCCACGTGTTGTCTATCTGACAAGTAAAAAAGTCGCTCCCTTTATTCAAGGCTTCACAATTGGAACTGGTTCTCTTTCGTTCAGCTGTAACCATCGAGTTGGAAAAAACTTTACACCCCACATTATCGAACCCCTTAATGGTCCTTGGTAAGATTCCCCCTTGTTAACTTTCTCTCCTATGAATGCAGTTCCAACGCATCTAAACCCCATTCGTATGATGGTTCCCTATCTCCCTTACCATTTCAGTAGCCCGCCTCCTAAGTCTTCTCTCTCTCTCTCGGGCAATTAAATCCAAATTGAGCCTCACTAAGCTCGTGCACGACCAAAGAATAGCGAGGGAGCAATAAAGTTAACAATTCCTCTCGACTCTAGTCTTATTCTCCTCTCCTGTGGAGAAGCCTACTTTCACGTCGTCGGAACATTCACAGATTTGACTTAAGGAGCCTTAACCTGCAGGTACAATTATTCCCTTGCTGGTGTTTGCACGACCGGATTTTGTCCAGAGAATTCCTCCCAGGTTTTCAACCAATTTACACACGATAGCTCATTCAATTCCTGTTTTCTTGCTGGTTCATATCTATTTTGATAACTTTTAGAGTTGACCTTTGACCTGATCCGGATGACCTTGCATGTTAATTTGGACCAATTTTTTTTAAATTAGCATATCATTAGAAAGCCCCAAGCATCCTCTATATTAGCTTTTGTATTTTTTTATTATTGGAATTTTATCCTGCCACGGAGAAACACGAAAGAAGCTTCCCTATGATTATTTTGCGGCACAGCGAGAGGCGAATTCGACTGCAGTCTCCATACAAAACATGCCTTAGTGTTAACACTACAGATCGTGAGGACGAACAAGACTAAACTTTCATGTTGAGTTCACGAACACTACCCGGATTTGCCTCCCCGCAAGTTAAACCTCGAAGTTGGACAGTTACACTTCGAATCGCAAAAAGGCATTGTTGTTGAGTTGAGTTCTGATTTGTCAAAAGGTCTTGAACGAGGAATATTCGCATGGTCGAGGTGATGATTGTCGATAGGACGGGCGAAGATTAGAGAAAAAACGTGGAAATGCGCTTGAATTCGAATCTATAAAAGCGCCAAGATGTAGAGCCCGAAGATTCTAATCCTATCTTTTTTCTGTCTGCCTCCATATCACGTCTTTTTTTTCTACCTGTGGGACGGTTCACTTCTTTCCCGCTCCGGTGGTCGCTGCCAATTTGCAGTTTTGACCTCAGCCACGTCAATCGGGAACTGAAATATCCTTAAGGTGATTCTCAGATGTATTCTACCTGTGTGATTCAGCCAACCCGCATGGCCGGGGTCACCATGCAGGAGCTCACGGAGGGAAAGGAGATGATTTCACGAAAGCAGTTATTTGTTTCCGTTTCGGCTTCTTCGAGTTCAGAGGAACCAAGACGGACTTAGAGGCTAATGCTCTTTCAAATGTTTTCAAATGCTCTCAACCTCTTGGTCGAAGAATCCTTATTAACAGAAGACACAATTTAAAAACCGACACTAACGTGCCTTCTCTTGCCCTGCTATTTTTCATATCGGTCTTCTTCCTTTGAGATATTTCTTCGACTTGTTGGCTCCAAAGACTGGAACCATCCGAATGACTTCGCCGAACGCACTGATTAGTTTTCACAGCACATTTTGTTCGTACTCTCAAGGAAAATGGTGACACATTCCGGTATCGTTCGACCTTAAGACTTCGACGTTTTCTCTTACTCGACGATGAGGGAAATTGCGTATCTTGGAACGTGAGACGAGGATAGCAAATCACATGCAATTCGCTGCACGTGATGAGAACCAATCCAGAGCAATGAGTACCAAGTAGAAAATGATCAGGGAGCGGAAGATTATATTTTTTAAAGGAATCTTCAGCCTCGATTCCAAGACTCTTGTTTCTCTAATTGCTGATGAGTAAATAGCTCGTTTTACGCTGAGCTACTCAGAACAGAAAGGCACTATCTCCAACCCCCCCTCCAACTGCATATAATCGGATAGTCGTCTCCGAAAGGCAGCGCCAAAAGTGCCTCATTCATAAACGGATACGGCAGACACGATCTTCGGTAGTACCCTTGACCTTTACACATGAGTGGAAATCTCAATTTGGTCCTTTATGGACTAAGAATCGCGCATCACTGGCGTAAAATGTGCCCTGGCTGTCTCCATTCTATCGCAGAGAGATGATCCAGGCCGCGGTCGTTGCACAGCGATATACAACTACTCGGTCCGGATTTGATTTCTGGCTCACTCCGTGTTTTGTCGAGTCTGTCTTTCCTCCTCATCCTTTCAGTGTGATCCTGCGTAAATACTTTGAATTGCGCTTCTAATAGTTCGAGTTCAATCACTGTTTCCTCTCCGTTGCCTTCCACTATAGGTTCAGCTTATACGGACCATGCATCTCAGAAAAGTCTGCAAATGCATGGAATCGCGTAATCTGTGGTCGAATCCGATTACAGTCAAATTTGAAACGTATCTTACGGCGATGTCGTGTCGTCTGCATCAGTCCGCCTCGTGAGCGGTCACGGAAGGGGAGATGCAGAAGGATGTGCGTGATCACAATTAATTACGGACGGGTAATGAATGAGATTGAGAGGAAACGAAGCAGGACACCCATAGGCGCGTAGGTCCTCGGCATTCTGCATTCTATTCTCGTGTGTCACCCTGAACTTGATCTCTTCTCTCCCCTCTATCTAATCCCCTTCTGCTACCTTCTCTTCTCCTTCCTATTCTCTTCCTTCTCTCATCATCTTCATTTGTCACTTGTTGGAGACGTCTTCCTTGTGTCTGCACGGGTTATCATTCGCAGATTTCACTCTGCGAAAGCCAGAAGTTTTGTCATTCTCTATCTTCAATCAGGGTTCTATTTTTTTATTATATAATAACAATAGTGAACATTAAAAACTGCTCTAATCCGTGAGAGCGGGATGGACTATGATTCCTTGTAAACTTCACGATAGTGACCTTACCGAGGAGGCAATCAGCCCGGTTTTAACCCGTATTGTGTGGAAGTGGCCTCCTTGAAGAATCGTAGTGTAGTCTGGTCCCTTTCCAATCCAACTTCAGTTCACGCACAAGCATCAACTCCAAATCAATGTACCTCCTCCTTTCGCCAAGATTTCCAAGGTTACGAAGCCTCGTCCGTCATAGTGCAATAATTCCGAAGATCGGGAAGTGCGTGGTCGAGAGAATCCCTTTTCAGGGTCACCACAGTCTGCTTTTGAGTGACAATGAACATGACAATAAGTTTCAATGACGAACCATTTTCGCTGCTTAAAATATCGAGTGATATCTATCCCTTAATGATGCACGGGTAGTTCTTACCTCCCGAATCTTGCTACCTTGCTATTAGACACTTTATCTAATATGATTCTTACCTTAATTATCCTCCTATCATAATGATCTGAATTAATCCTTGGGTTGGATGTCATCCCGATATTGACCCCTCCTAGATTCCACGCGACCACGAAATCCTCTCTACAGTATTGAGGGAAAGAAAAGATGTACAATTCATGCGAAGTGAGAAAAATCAAAGGGGCTCCTAATTTTTCCAGAACTAAGTTTTTTTTTCCTGTCCCGATTTTTCAAGAAGTGCATGCGTATGATAAAGTTGTAAGAATTGTAGTCAGCAAGTGTGACTCAACCTGAATCTGTGATCTACGGAGGTGCTTCGCGGAAGAGAGGGGAAACCCCAATATTCGTTTCCTATCGGGTGCATCCGGATATCTCGCTTGCATGGCGTTTCCATTGTATTTCACCCCGAAATGTGGATTGTGGCATCGGGACCCCGAATTTCATACCTCATTCGTTTCGTGCAACTCAAAGAAACTGACAGAGCTCGTGATCTGCTCTTAAGAACATCGTGATTTTCTAAGTAGATTGGAAGTTATTGCAAGTGACTTCATTAATGTAATTAGAGTTACTGGCGGCTGTTATACCCGGGCGTTGGAAATAACAAATTGCCGAGATATTGGGTGACATGCACCAGATTCGTTTAACTTTAAACCGATTCGTTTTCATAATGGGCGTCAATGGGAATGAGTTTATCTCGGTTAAACTGATTCCCATAGGGAACCATTGTGAGATCAGATTAGTTAAGCTTAAACGGATCCGGTGCATGTCACCCATTATTTCAGAGGAAAATGAGAGCGACGTGGCTCATCCTCGGTAGCGCCACGAAACACAAAAAAGACGGAGGGATTGAACTCCTTCCAACCAGATTGTCGTTCGCCATGGGTTTTTCTTTTTCAAGCGAAGGGTGAATAATAGGAAAACCACTTTTCCGGCCTTAATATATACGAGAGGGCGATGGAAACATACAGGGGGAAAACCCCGAACCTTGAACCGAATAGCCTTGACTATTACGTCGCCTAAGAGCGTCGCTATAGTTTATACAGTATCCACTATGCGTTTGTATGTATAGATCAACATTAACCTGAGAGAGTCAGCAATTGGCTCCAAGGCCCTTTCTTGAGGTCCCTTACAATAATTATAAAGCAGAATTTCGATCCAGGGGGGTCGATTTCCATCCTCCCATAGTACCTTAAAGCCGTTTCTTGCTCCACTCATCCAAAAGCCTCAAATCTCGCTCGACACTGGCCCTCTCCGCCTTTCCCCTTACAGAAAAACCTATTTTGGTGTCGTCGGCAAATTTACTTATCTTACCCTCTACGCATAGATCTAAATCGTTAATGTTGACCAAAAACAGAAGCTTTCCCAGGACCGAGCCCTGAGGGACACCGCTTGCGACAACCACCTCCGTCGACGTTTCCCCATTTACCATTAAGGCCCGTTCACATTGCTCTTCGGCGAGGCCTCGCCGTAGCCTCGCCGAAGGTGCAGCGCAGACCAGTCTGAACGCGCCCATAGAAAAGAATCGAACGAATGGGCGTGTCTTTTTCTCCAGCCGCCAGCAGCTGCTAGCAGCTGCTGGCGAAAAAGACGCGTTGACTAGGCACGACCACGTCATTGAATGACGTCACTCTTGGGCAAACAGCCGGCAGCGGAACATAGCGAACTATGGGAGCGCTGAGCAGCTCAGCCCTAACATGACGTCATGGGATGCTGGAGACCTCAGCAGAGCTAGCTGAGCCGCTGAGAAAAAAGACACGCCCGTGGATTGTGGCATCGGGACCCCGAATTTCATACCTCATTTGTTTCGTGCAACTCAAAGAAACTGACTGACAGAGCTCGTGCTCTGCTCTTAAGAACATCGTGATTTTCTAATTAGATTGGAAGTTATTGCAAGTGACTTCATTAATGTAATTAGAGTTACTGGCGGCTGTTATACCCGGGCGTTGGAAATAACAAATTGGCGAGATATTGGGTGACATGCACCAGATTCGTTTAACTTTAAACCGATTCGTTTTCATAATGGGCGTCAATGAGAATAAGTTTATCTCGGTTAAACTGATTCCCATAGGGAACCATTGTGAGATCAGATTAGTTAAGCTTAAACGGATCCGGTGCATGTCACCCATTATTTCAGAGGAAAATGAGAGCGACGTGGCAATTCCTCGGTAGCGCCACGAAACAGAAAAAAGACGGAGGGATTAACTCCTTCCAACCAGATTGTCGTTCGCCATGGGTTTTTCCTTTTCAAGCGAAGGGTGAATAATAGGAAAACCACTTTTCCGGCCTTAACATATACGAGAGAGCGATGGAAACATACAGGGGGAAAACCCCGAACCTTGAACCGAATAGCCTTGACTATTACGTCGCCTAAGAGCGTCGCTATAGTTTATACAGTATCCACTATGCGTTTGTATGTATAGATCAACATTTGAAAAGGTAAAGTGGGGAGTGTTATGTGAGGGGTGAGAGCGTGTGTGAAGCCCTTCTCATCCAGTCTGCGTATCGGCCCTATTCCCATCGTTCCCCAAGGGTTTTTTTCCATCAATTTTCCATTCATCGCTTCTCCGTACAAAAAAAAAGACGTCTGGGTTCCGTCCCGGCCGTCATGTGCTGTTACCATTTTTTTTTTCGAATTTCATTTTCACTTTTTGTCTATTGTTGCGTGACGTCATAGCCTCTTGGTTTCATTGCGTGTAGTCCAATCACGGTTGGAAATCATCTTTTGCCTAAAGCACCACCTTAATTATCGCATTAACTGATGCGGTTTCCAGCGTCAGCACTACAAGGAATCGTCATCGGCCAACGATGCTTCGTCAGTGAATCGCATTTTTACAGAATCAATATAGATAAAGCGATTTTGTCTCATTGGAGTATTTCCGTCTTTGGCCAATGAATCGTCTTCGGCGAGGACGGTAACAACTTTTAGTGTGGACGTAGGTTTACTCTCTTCGAATTTGCGAGCGTATATGCATGTCATCTTTTGAGTATCGTTCATTTCCATCATCTTCCTCTTCTCGTCGTTATCTTCATCGTGTTTTACAGTTCGTATCCGTAAAAATATTTGCACTAAAAATGCATAGGCCTACCAGTCTTGGGATCTATTAAACTCGAGGGCTTGGAATAACTTTAATAGCCAATTGCGTTTCAGTTAGAAACAGAAGGAAGAGGAGGAAGACGTACTGTTTCGGCGAGGAATATGAGGTATGAGGTTTTGCTTGTATGTCTGGCGGTGGTGCTGGTGGATGTAATGGGACAGGAGTTCCCGAAGGAAGTCACTTTCCACCGGGAAGAGTGGTGGAAAAACCTGATGAGAGGGACAGAAGAAGAAGGCAAAAGTGAGCAGGAATTTCGATACGGGGGGCCTGAAGGCAGAAGCTGTCGGTGTCGACGAGGACGAAGTGGGCTCGTGTCGTGTTGGGGGCTGGATTGTCGGGAATTCCCCAAGGACCTCACTCCCCACGATACGAGTTTAGACTTTGGACCTTTCAACGTCACCCGACTGACCCGGGATGACCTGAGTTCGCTGAAACACGTCCAGGTTCTGACCATCAGGAACGGCCCGTTGAGGGACGTGGACGTCGGTGCATTTCGATCCATGATCCAATTGAAGAATCTCTCCATCTCCTTTACCCACGTTCAAGCGCTTCATCCTCAAGCCTTCCAGGTTCGCATGGGTTGATATAAAATCAAGTAATTATCACGTACAACCGTAAGCGCAAATATTTTGCGAGTAAAATATTTCCATATCGAACCTTATGAGTTCATGCGGCAGAAAATTGCAACTTACTCGGGAACGGGGGAGGGGGAAGAAGTTTCTAGCCAATGATGGTCAGCCTGGAGCAAAGTTCAATGAAATTCAGGAAACAGACAGGAAATAAAATGGAAAGCTCCCAAGATAAGATGTGCTGCATATTATTCAAGCATTGATTATGGATTATGCATGCTCATTGTACAGTACATCACCTTTTACGCAAGGCTTGTTTTCTGACCTGATTTTCCCGCTTGGCTTCTCTCTCCTTCCACTCCATTATAAGCTTTCACCCTTCGTCTCCCGCTTTCATCTTTTTTGAGATGTGAATGTGCAACCAGAGGAAATTCTGCACTACCATGCCAGGAAAATTTTCGCGATGTTCTCGAACTTTCTTCTCGAGGAAAATTATTAGTTTCGCGGAAGTTTTTCAGTCGTGGGGATCATGCGGGGATCATGTGGGGATCATGAAGAGTATCCCTTCGTACAAGGGAATCCGTTTATCTGTGACGTCATCAGAGGGATGGCATGAAGGTAGCTACTTCTATCCGATTGTGTGCACGTATTTACGAATAGCGAAGGTATTAGCCAAGTTTTGGCCTCGCAAGCAAATTTGAAGTACAGTCGGCGCTCGCTATAACGAAGTACGCTATAACGAAAAATATATCAACATTTGATCCGCCACAGCATCCCCCTGTAAAAATTATAAAACGTTGTAACGAATTACGATATTACGAAAAATACCTTCTAATGAAGTAATTTCCTTGTACCGATCGCCAAAAACAAGCATTGTTTTTGGCGATCAAACAAGCAAAATTGTCATGCCGGTTCTGTCCCATAACTAGTCGATAATGGAGCTGGTACATGGTAACTGTAGCAGGATATGTCTTACCTTCGCGCATATGCAGACGATCAATTGGTCGCGCGCATTCCATTAATCATGCCCATGCCCAAAGCAATACTTTACGGCATGCATTTGTGTGTTTATACTTAATCTTTAGGTATGAGGAACACTTGACTAAATTTTTCACATTTTCGTTAAAATATTTCAAGGAAAATACATTATAACGAAGGAAAAACGAGCCCCCCCCTTGAATTTCTTAATAGCGAGCGTTGACTAAAAATAAATATGAAAAATTTAAGAGACATTTTGAGCTCAGCCTTTGCCGAACTCAAAAATGCATTTCAAATATGAATACCCTGAGAGAATGTATTGGTGTCTACATGTAAATCCTCCCAGGTGCCCCAAGTAATTTTCATAATTTTACATGACTGCAGACGGATAATCATACATGATTTACGAGAAATTTGCAGGACGTCACACCCAACATGTGTAGGCGACTTCACGAAAACTGGATTTAACCATTTAATGCATGATTTTTCTTTTTCGATGGAAAAATCTGGTAGGTTTTACTTAGGTCATAGAACACGGGAAAAGTGGAAACAAAAATTTTCCCTCAAGTTTGTAAGTAGTAGGCCCGAAAATGTTATTGTTGCTCATTTGCTTCAAACAGCATTTTCAGCTTTCTAACCTAAACTGCATGGACGCTAGAGAGCTCAGTCGATCCGTCAACATTCGTACATACCTCAACGCAAAAGAAAATGTAAAAATACGGATGTGCCTGGACCCTAGATTAGCGTGAAGTTGAAAATAATTGCACCAAAAATGTCAGTCTATCACACGACGAAGCCATGTGTTTTTAATCTGCTTGCCAACATGAGTTTATGACACCTAGCGACCACGTGTTTGCTAGGTATAAGCACTGGACTGTTGCACATCTGCTAACCGATTTACCTCAAGAGCTCGCTACCTACGCATTCTTCACCACGTTTCATTCACCACGCTTGACTTGGGTGCTACCTCTTCGCACGATCAGATTTGTCCCGTAACTCAATCCAAATGAACTGCCAGGCGCAGACACACTCGTTCCTTCCTCGGGGTTCTTTGCGACACACTTAATTCAACTTTATTAAACTTCCTATACGAGTTGGCGTGGCGTCCTGTATATTTCCTGTTGATGTCTTGCACCGTATTCCATCTGCAACCTTGTTAAATTTGGGGCTATTTGGAAGCACTCAAAGTGTTTGCATATCGGCACTTATGTTCTCTAAAGTTGTTTACACTTGAATAAGAATTGCATTTTTTAGTTCAGCTAAGGAATCCTTTCTAAACTTACTTTTTCTATGATAAACTTTGGTTTTGTGACCGATACATTTATATATTGGGCAATATTTTTTTTTTTCACCATTGAGATTCCAGGATCGGAATAAATTTAAACTTAAACTTTCTGGGTGTTTCCCTGGTAGGGTTTGGAGAAGCTGGAGGAGATGTTTCTCATCAAGAACCGTATCCGAAAGATATCGAAAGTGACTGAAAGCATGAGAGCGGAGGTTCTTCCGAACTTGTTCCGACTTCACCTGGGAGGGAATGACATCGGCAGAGTGTGGCCAGATGATTTTGCAGCTCTGAAAATGGGATCCTTGAGGGATCTTCAGTTGCCATCCAGCAACCTCTCTCATATTCACCCTCGGGCCTTCGTTCCGTTTGGAAAACTCGGGAGACTCCAGCTCCGCGAAAACGTGATCCCCTCTGCCAATTTACTCGAGATCGTTGCCAATCTGCCAGAGAGTCTCTACGGCTTCGACATCTCCTCCATCCCTCTGAATACGCAGGAAATTACCAACATTCTCTTCGCTCTCTCCCGTGCGTCGGTTTCCTCTCAAAAACATGTCCTTTTTCCAATATTTCATAGTCACTTGTTAAAGGAACTCTCTTTAATTATGTATTTTGTGTGCAATACGTGGGCTTTGGATGTGACGTTAGTTTCTTTCCTCTTTGAGGCACGAATGTTCGAGAACTCTGGCTTTCGAAGACAACAATCCCGATGTTAAAGGAACTCTCTTTAATTATGTATTTTGTGTGCAATACGTGGGCTTTGGATGTGACGTTAGTTTCTTTCCTCTTTGAGGCACGAATGTTCGAGAACTCTGGCTTTCGAAGACAACAATCCCGACTTTATGGAAGGGGTTCCTGCCGAAGTGGGATGTATTAGAACGACTAGAGCTGAAACAGGTAGCACTGTTCTTTTTTACACGTTTGTCTGACCTTGCAGGTAACATAACTATCAGTTTTTTTTCTGGTAGGTGGGAATGTTGTACGTGGAAGATGGGGCCTTGGACGGAACGGTCCACTTGAAACACCTGACGCTGAGTGAAAACAAACTCACTTCCATTCCCATGGGGATCTTAGCACCTAGTCTCACCACTTTAGATCTGTCCAGGAACAGCGGAGGGAAACGAATCTATTCCTATTTTCACATTGGAGAATTGACATTCCGGAACATGTCGACGCTGGAATCCCTGGATCTGAGTCGGAATAAAGTATTGAAGATCGAGAAGAATGCCTTTATGGGGCTTTCTTCTCTCCAGCGACTAAACCTGGAGGAGTCAGAGCTCGAGGAATTGAGTCCAGGAGTGTTCGATCCTCTCAGCGCTCTCGTCTCCTTAGATCTCAGCCGGAATCACCTGGTGAAGGCCTTTCCTAAGGACTCTTCCGGAATCTCCATCACTTTCCCCGGGAGCTTGAAGGTTTTGAAACTGAGCAGTTGTGGGATCCAGAGCGTGACCGAGGAGAACTTCTCCAACTTGAAAAAACTCACTTTCTTAGACCTGAGCCACAACAAGTTGTTCACTCTGCCAAAGACGGCATTTCGGGACATGGAGAACCTGAAGGTTTTGAACTTATCCCATAACGGTCTGATCGGGTGGCACGAAGGCCTTTTGACCACAAACGCCCAGTTACTTTACCTTTCCCTTCGAGAAAATCACGTGACGACGGTGACACGGGAAATGATCCAAGATGTATCGATCGGGGTCGAACACTTGGATCTCCAAGGGAATCCCTTCGCCTGCACGTGCGACCTGAAAGATTTTGCAGCCTGGTTCCTGGGCCCGAAGTCGGATTCGGTGAAAGGGAAAGAATCTCTTATTTGTGTGAGTCCACAGGAATGGGAAGGGGTCTCCCTGTTGAAGTACGCGGCCGTCTCCCTCGATATCTGTCCATCATCATTATTGCAACTTTCCTCTTCCTCCATTTCCTCTCATTTCAACTGCTTTTCTATCCTCTTCATCATCATCCTTGCCTTCCACGTCTTTCCCTTTTAGGGCATTCTACTTTGTATGTGTCATCGTGCATCGGTTTTTCAAGGTCCTCGATTCTCAATGTTGAGAGCGTCCATTTACATCTCAGTATCATGTCATGTGCTGCGTAAATGAATATAATGAAACGAAAGTATCAATGAATCTCTGGCGATTGTCATTCCTGAGCTTCGGAGCATTCACACGCATCAATCAAAACTTTGCCACGACTGAATCACACACACATACGAACAGATCACAATAACAGCAACAAAATAATCTTTGACGACACTATAAAAAAAAGACACTGGACAAGACTGAAAAGAAGAGTGGGAAAGGCGAGAGAAACGTTGGAAAATGCCGTGACTAGTTTCATGTAGGGGGACAAACGGACCCACGACGTTGACAGCGACTAACAAGTTTTCTCTGGCTTCATCGCTGTCAACAAGTCATTAGTCTTTCCTGGAAGGCGTGTCAATCTTGAGAAGGAGTAAGGGCTTCTTCATCGGGATCAATCTGTCTGCTGTGAAAATAAATAGAGTATAATGGAGGTTAAGCCTGAGTCAATCGCCTAGGGTCTCTCTTCAGTTGACGTTTTCTTCATGCAGAAATTCGCCAGTGAGAGGTATCACATAGAATGTTCTTGACTCCAATCATCAAATAAACAGCATTAACTTTAATATTAAAACGGAGCTCGCAACAGTCTGCAAACTTCCTGCCGCATTGCCGTTCATGTTTGAATATCAAAATAAATAAATAAAACCTTTCTCCTCGCATCGGTCTATGCATTGGCTTTTTTCTTCCCTGAAGAGTGAATGAACCAACCTTGCATTTTTGTTGTTGTGGTGCCTTATTGTCGGTCGTGATGTTTAGGGCTTGCCGTAAGCAGGTCCGGAGATGGGAGGGAGTTCCTTGGGATGCTTCCCATAACCGATTCCACTGCCGCTCCCACTGCTTCCACTGCTGTACCCCTTCTTCGGTCCGTGATTGTATTCCCAATAGTGCTCCCCATACCCGTCCTTGTCCTTCCAGACAGCCTTCATTTCCCAAAGGAAAGGAGGAAAACAATTTTTCCGTCACGGCTCATTACATGGCAAGCAACTGTGGATGGGATGAAAGTAAAAGTTGGGATTGAACGATGATGATGCTTCGCAATGGCCCTGTCCCTTCGGCAAGTGAGAGGAACTGTAATTAGTCAAGTGAGAAAAAGTCCTTCCCAACCACTTTCCATTTCACCTCGCGGGTGAAATAAGCTGAGAAAAAGCCATGCAATCCAACATCCGAAGTCAAATAATTGCTAGCGTTGTATTTGTGCGAAAAATAATTTCAGGCAGTCATGTTCGAATAAATACAAAACAGAGGCGTCACAGGACAGAGACTAAAACCCATTTAAATCCAGGATTCGTTACTACACGTAAAAACTTGTTCAGTCAGAGTTCACTATCCGGGGTAAAGTTTCTGGCTATACCGATACAATTTCTCATTTTCAATTTTACACTTCCTCATTGACGTGTATAAGCTTTCATCTGCTCCGATGCTCTTTGTTCTCTTTCATTCCTTGAAGATCAAGAATAAACAGAAAGAAAAGAGGAAGTAAAAATGAAACGGGACTGACCCTGGTGCGGAAACGATGACCCTTGGTCTGTTCATAGCGAGCCGTGTTGTGATAGGGATTCCCCCTTTTGTACCCAAATTCATACTGCTTGTGTCCAGGCACATTCACGTACTGAAAGTACCCATCTTTATTGTATCCTTGACCTGATACCACGCTCATCACGGCCAGGAGGCATCCTGCCAACCCCAGCTGTAAAGAAAGTTCAAGTTGAAGGTGGTCAAAACTGGTCAAGCTCAGCAATGCAGACTATATCTCCATGTATCTGATTCTACGTGACTAAAGGGTTTTCCAGAAATCGTTATACCTCTTAGACTGCAGGTTTTGAACGAAAAATTATTGCGCCTTAGAAGCGGACTTATAAAGACATTTGAAAAGTTGCGGTGGTCTATGTCCATTCATCGTTTTGTTTAGGAGAAATCAAAACAAGTTTGGTCACTAATCAGGTTGGAACCCTTTATGTGCAGTAAGGCAGCAAAATATATTGCTCGCAGAAAGTTTAGGGGCCTGAGTTCCATTGCTGAATGGATGGGTAAGGGCTCTGTCGATCCTTTGCAAAGATATCTCCTGATGTAACTGGGCCTTGGCAACAGAGTGGGAATTGAGGTGTGCACGACAAATTCGATAATGATACGAAGCCATCTCGTCCGGAATGCAGAGAGTCTTCAGATAACGTCAAGAATGTCTCTCGTACAGAAGAAACGATGCAAAAAATCATTTTTGATATTCAAAGGAAGGAATTCAATGTTAGACATAAAATGGGGCATGGTACAGAGAGATAGAAAATTATTACGCGTGCAATTATTGTTCATTTTACCTCCTTCGACATAAGCCACAAACGTGGTGTGAAATACGGTCCCTCGGAGAGGTCACCATCAATTTTATTTTCAAGTGGAACGTATGGTACAGGTCCAATAGGATACTGAATTAATTCCATCCAGTTCTTTCATTACAGGTTCACTCTGGGATTGATGACGAAAGCGTGACTATTGAATCAAAGATGTGCTTCATTTTATCACTTAATTGGTCAATATGCCAGCGCGTTATAAATCTCGATCACCACAATTCATTCTTCTATCAAACATGCATTTTTATGAATCAAGAAAACGCTAGAAATGAAGACGTTGCAGCGCAGGAGAGAGGGTGAAGGAACTCCGAAGAAGTGGGGGACATTAAGGGAAGAAGACCACAATTCATTCTTCTATCAAACATGCATTTTTATGAATCAAGAAAACGCTAGAAATGAAGACGTTGCAGCGCAGGAGAGAGGGTGAAGGAACTCCGAAGAAGTGGGGGACATTAAGGGAAGAAGGATGAAGCGTCCATCCCGGTATCAATCACTAAAAGGACTAAAATCTACCGTCGACAAAATGCGCATAGTCAACTAGTCCAATTGAAAGTCTGCTTAGGGCGAAACCTCACGAAAAGATAAATCAAGCCTGTATCTTGTCTATAAATTCCTACATTCACTGTGATGACTTTAACCCTAATCCGGGCAAGGTGAGTCCGCTGGACTCACTACGACATATTTCGGTCTATTACTGTCATTATTTTTTTAAACTATCAGGACCATTAAATAAATTGTCTGTATTATTTTAGTTACAGTACTGTTATTTATAAGAATACATACCGTAACCGCAGCAAACGGCCTTATTTTACATGAGTCAGACAGACTCACCTTGCCCGGAATAGGTTGTAAAAAAGCTTGCCCGGATGAGGGTTAATGTAATATTTTTGGAATAACTCGTCTCTCAACGAAAAATATAACATCCAGACAAGGAAAAAGCGAGTCTATAAATGGCCTCTTTCTTATTTTTAAAAGAAAGAGGGCCGATCAAACAAACAAACAAACAAAAAATAAGGTGAGAAACGGGGTTCTCCTGCTACTGTTAGGATTCATCTGAGACTCCTTTTATCGTGGAAATTTCTAAAAATTCTCATATATTGTGAACTGATCTTAACAGTCTCGCTCGAATTTCTTATAACCAAGCAACAGTTATACCAACGGTCAGAGACCAATTTTCAAGGCACTATTATTTTTCACTCGGGAGAATGTCCGCAATCCAGAGAATGGGTAGGGCGAACGCCATACTCTCCCTGTCTCTTTGATAGCTTTTAATTTTCGTTTGGAAATATCCCTCAGGTCGAGGCAACCGCCTGGCAAAGAGAGGTAGTTTTCTTTTTGCTATACGGGAAAGGAGGAACGGGAGGAACCTATTTGTTCCTGATGTTCTTGTATCCTGAGAGAAACTAAAAAGGACTCGAAAAGGCTGTACGAATTTGTGAAACGGGACTCACCAAGCTGATGGGAGACATGTCGAAGGAGAAAAGATCGGAGGTAAGAGCAGAGATGGACTGACGGTGAAGAACGGTGGTAGAAAGGCTTTTATACGCACGCTGGGCGGGAGAGTCCAAGTCTGAACCAGAACCAGGCGAGCATGTACCTATTGGAGCTCTATCCACCCTGGACTTTCCTTTCATTGGTAGAAAGAAACGGTGCCGAGGGACGGCAGATGCAATTATCATCCATCCCAGCATCCCATAAGCAGACTTCACTTTCGAATACACTCAACCTCGAAATGGTCCAGTTTCTTTCAAGGTCCCACCTGTCGACTGCTCCAAAAATCCCTTCAACCACCTGACCGCTCGAACTAATATTGGTCTTCACGACCGCACGTGGCTATGGGCGTCGTACGTCATAACGCTACAGAGTATAACAAGAGACACCAACTACTTTTAGTTNGATACCACGCTCATCACGGCCAGGAGGCATCCTGCCAACCCCAGCTGTAAAGAAATTTCAAGTTGAAGGTGGTCAAAACTGGTCAAGCTCAGCAATGCAGACTATATCTCCATGTATCTGATTCTACGTGACTAAAGGGTTTTCCAGAAATCGTTATACCTCTTAGACTGCAGGTTTTGAACGAAAAATTATTGCGCCTTAGAAGCGGACTTATAAAGACATTTGAAAAGTTGCGGTGGTTTATGTCCATTCATCGTTTTGTTTAGGAGAAATCAAAACAAGTTTGGTCACTGATCAGGTTGGAACCCTTTATGTGCAGTAAGGCAGCATAATATATTGCTCGCAGAAAGTTTAGGGGCCTGAGTTCCATTGCTGAATGGATGGGTAAGGGCTCTGTCGATCCTTTGCAAAGATATCTCCTGATGTAACTGGGCCTTGGCAACAGAGTGGGAATGGAGGTGTGCACGACAAATTCGATAATGATACGAAGCCATCTCGTCCGGAATGCAGAGAGTCTTCAGATAACGTCAAGAATGTCTCTCGTACAGAGGAAACGATGCAAAAAATCATTTTTGATATTCAAAGGAAGGAATTCAATGTTAGATATAAAATGGGGCATGGTACAGAGAGATAGAAAATTATTACGCGTGCAATTATTGTTCATTTTACCTCCTTCGACATAAGCCACAAACGTAGTGTGAAATACGATCCCTCGGAGAGGCCACCATCAATTTTATTTTCAAGTGGAACGTATGGTTCAGGTCCAATAGGATACTGAATTAATTCCATCCAGTTCCTTCATTACAGGTTCACTCTGGGATTGATGACGAAAGCGTGACTATTGAATCAAAGATGTGCTTCATTTTATCACTTAATTGGTCAATATGCCAGCGCGTTATAAATCTCGATTACCACAATTCATTCTTCTATCAAACATGCATTTTTATGAATCAAGAAAACGCTAGAAATGAAGACGTTGCAGCGCAGGAGAGAGGGTGAAGGAACTCCGAAGAAGTGGGGGACATTAAGGGAAGAAGGGGGATGGAGACATTCAGGGAAGAAGGATGAAGCGTCCATCCCGGTATCAATCACTAAAAGGACCAAAATCTACCGTCGACAAAATGCGCATAGTCAACTAGTCCAATTGAAAGTCTGCTTAGGGCGAAACCTCACGAAAAGATAAATCAAGCCTGTATCTTGTCTATAAATTCCTACATTCACTGTGATGACTTTAACCCTAATCCGGGCAAGGTGAGTCCGCTGGACTCACTACGACATATTTCGGTCTATTACTGTCATTATTTTTTTAAACTATCAGGACCATTAAATAAATTGTCTGTATTATTTTAGTTACAGTACTGTTATTTATAAGAATACATACCGTAACCGCAGCAAACGGCCTTATTTTACATGAGTCTGACAGACTCACCTTGCCCGGAATAGGTTGNAAATTGTCTGTATTATTTTAGTTACAGTACTGTTATTTATAAGAATACATACCGTAACCGCAGCAAACGGCCTTATTTTACATGAGTCAGACAGACTCACCTTGCCCGGAATAGGTTGTAAAAAAGCTTGCCCGGATGAGGGTTAATGTAATATTTTTGGAATAACTCGTCTCTCAACGAAAAATATAACATCCAGACAAGGAAAAAGCGAGTCTATAAATGGCCTCTTTCTTATTTTTAAAAGAAAGAGGGCCGATCAAACAAACAAACAAACAAAAAATAAGGTGAGAAACGGGGTTCTCCTGCTACTGTTAGGATTCATCTGAGACTCCTTTTATCGTGGAAATTTCTAAAAATTCTCATATATTGTGAACTGATCTTAACAGTCTCGCTCGAATTTCTTATAACCAAGCAACAGTTATACCAACGGTCAGAGACCAATTTTCAAGGCACTATTATTTTTCACTCGGGAGAATGTCCGCAATCCAGAGAATGGGTAGGGCGAACGCCATACTCTCCCTGTCTCTTTGATAGCTTTTAATTTTCGTTTGGAAATATCCCTCAGGTCGAGGCAACCGCCTGGCAAAGAGAGGTAGTTTTCTTTTTGCTATACGGGAAAGGAGGAACGGGAGGAACCTATTTGTTCCTGATGTTCTTGTATCCTGAGAGAAACTAAAAAGGACTCGAAAAGGCTGTACGAATTTGTGAAACGGGACTCACCAAGCTGATGGGAGACATGTCGAAGGAGAAAAGATCGGAGGTAAGAGCAGAGATGGACTGACGGTGAAGAACGGTGGTAGACGCCAAAACCTCTTGTAAGCCATTGACAATTTTATATTCACTACGCTAATTGGTATCAGCTTTGGAAATTCACTCTTAAGAGAGGATCGGAAACGGAACTAGCAAAAGGAAAGAAAGTGAAACAAGCCGCTTCTCTGCTTCTCCATTTAGCTATTCAATATCAATCGTTTTTGCGTTATAAGGAATAAGGGTTTTGGTTTAGTCACACAGAGATTATTGACTTTATGCGAACCCACTTTCGCAAAAACTCCATCAATAGTGTTTCAATTATCTTCGGCTTATTGCACTGGTCGGGAGAAGTTGTGACATGTGTGTGAAGCTAGGGACCTTTTACCAGTGAGGGAATGGGAAAAGGGAGCAGCAGAGCGAGTCATCTACAGGGTACTGCAAAAATAAGGACAAACGACTTTCGGCCTATATATCTTTGCTCTCACTGTAGTTACCTTCACGATAATTGCATCGTGCATGGATTGTTACGATCCCAGCAAGGATTTTAAATGTAATCAAAATCGAATTCACCGAAACAAGGCCACGCACAATTACTAGAGAGAACTATGAAATTGAAAAAGGAGAGGACATTTATTTGTCTCTTTGAAATGACTAGATATTTCTCCCTTCTTCTGCCTATTTCCTTCTCCGACATACACCAAGAGAAAACCTGAAGAAACTTCAAGCAAACTCTCTGCGCTGATTCTTAATCTTGCCAAAACCGTCTGCAAGAATATGTCAACCCAGGTTATGAGTTTCAGTGGATAGGAAGCTGGATGTGGCCTGAATGAAATGCACACACCGTGCAAAGGCACGGAGTTCCCTACCAGCACTCAGTCTTATCCATTTTCAATATCCAACATTTTTTTAAATAGTTGTCTTTGATTCTCCTCGACTCAACGAGAATGGATGAAATTTCTAAGATCTGTTGGGCACATATTCATCAATGCGCGTGCAAGTTTCATGAAATTAGATTCAGTAATAGCAGGGACAAAAACTAAAAGTAGTTGGTGTCTCTTGTCATACTCTGTAGCGTTATGACGTACGACGCCCATAGCCACGTGCGGTCGTGAAGACCAATATTAGTTCGAGCGGTCAGGTGGTTGAAGGGATTTTTGGAGCAGTCGACAGGTGGGACCTTGAAAGAAACTGGACCATTTCGAGGTTGAGTGTATTCGAAAGTGAAGTCTGCTTATGGGATGCTGGGATGGATGATAATTGCATCTGCCGTCCCTCGGCACCGTTTCTTTCTACCAATGAAAGGAAAGTCCAGGGTGGATAGAGCTCCAATAGGTACATGCTCGCCTGGTTCTGGTTCAGACTTGGACTCTCCCGCCCAGCGTGCGTATAAAAGCCTTTCTACCACCGTTCTTCACCGTCAGTCCATCTCTGCTCTTACCTCCGATCTTTTCTCCTTCGACATGTCTCCCATCAGCTTGGTGAGTCCCGTTTCACAAATTCGTACAGCCTTTTCGAGTCCTTTTTAATTTCTCTCAGGATACAAGAACATCAGGAACAAATATGTTCCTCCCGTTCCTCCTTTCCCGTATAACAAAAAGAAAACTACCTCTTTTTGCCAGGCGGTTGCCTCGACCTGAGGGATATTTCCAAACGAAAATTAAAGCTATCAAAGAGACAGGGAGAGTATGGGGTTCGCCCTACCCATTCTCTGGATTGCGGACATTCTCCCGAGTGAAAAATAATAGTGCCTTGAAAATTGGTCTCTGACCGTTGGTATAACTGTTGTTTGGTTATAATAAATTCGAGCGAGACTGTTAAGATCAGTTCACAATATATGAGAATTTTTAGAAATTTCCACGATAAAAGGAGTCTCAGATGAATCCTTACAGTAGCAGGAGAACCCCGTTTCTCACCTTATTTTTTGTTTGTTTGTTTGATCGGCCCTCTTTCTTTTAAAAATAAGAAAGAGGCCATTTATAGACTCGCTTTTTCCTTGTCTGGATGTTATATTTTTCGTTGAGAGACGAGTTATTCCAAAATTATTACA